ACTGCAGAGGTAGTAAGAACACAGCCTCACCGACTTGGCATGATTAACATGGAACCACGCTTGGTGTCGCTAGGATACTAGGGGTGGCTCACATTAATTTTCAGCATCAAATCATGATTGCTCGTGTGCCTCCTCTGTACTCCCCGACATGTAACTTGTGGACATGCTGGACGGTGTTTGGCAGATGTCACGTAACTGGATATTCACTTGAGTTGGGAGTAATTGGGGATGCGCTGGCTGCAGCTGTCTCTGTAGAAAGCAACGGTGGATCTAGCTTTCGCAGGGGGGGGGGGGGAGGGTCACAAAATTTCAAGCATTTTAAATAGAGCCCCCCACATTCCTAATAATAAAACGTTCAATATATTTTCTCCAGTAAATATTGATGAAATACCAAACTTCCAGTCTCGGGGGGTGGGGGGCGCAGCCTCCATCGCACAGCCCCCCCCCCTCCACTCCGTCACAGCACGATTGCTGTATCAAGTATTACTTGATACAGCTATCGTGCTGTGACGGTTCCACCTGAAGACGGAAGCTTGTGTTGCCTCCGAAACGTCGTGATTTTTATTTTATTTTTATTTTACTTTTTATCAATTTAATTTTTTTACCTACGTGACTTTACCGAAAAAACCTAAGAATATGAATCATTGCAGTCACGAAAGCTTCAAATCTAGAATTAATATCGTACAGTATTTTTGGGGTTAGATCACGTAATATAAATGCGTCGTTAAAACCCGCCACCAACACCGACACAGCCAATTAGTAAGGTTCGTCACGTAACATTAAATTACGTGTCCGATAATGTCACGTGCCACAAACTGACAGACGCTGATGTGTCTAAGCATAGATACGGGATAATTTGTGTCTCTCAAAGAGAGACTGGTACATTTCTGAAAGCAAGACTTCTAACTGCATTTGGTTAAAACAAAAAATTAAACGTGAATTACAGCGCCGCTTGCTGGAGCGGCGTGCCTTGCAGGATTTACGGTCATCCCAGTGCTTGCACATCAGAGGTCGCAAACGGGTTTTGATTCCTTACCCGTACCCGGCCGCAACAGGGTCGCAATCGGGTACCCGATACCCATACCCTACCCGATACCCGGCTACTCGTACCCGGCCGGGTACGGGTAGGGGGTACCTGATTGCGACCTCTGGGATGAAGCCACGTTGCAGGCGCGGGTGGGTTGATCCTAGGAACTTGAATTGTGAGAAGAGACAAGACGTTGGGAAATGAGTGACAAATGGTGACTCACCAGTGACTCACGGTCTACCCGTACCCGTACCCGGCCGGGTACGGGTACGGGTATCGGGTAGGGTACGGGTATCGGGTACCCGGTCGCGACCTCTGGCCTGACAGTACGCCGCGTCCCACAAACCGGTGGGGCCTCTGCCACAATACGCAGCACCCACGCACATTCATCGATTAGAGCTGTAATACTTGTTGTTACATTCTCCCTCACCCACACATTGATCACAACCATACCAATGGGAAAAATAAATATGTGTTAAATAAGCAAAAAAGGATAAATTCATCCATTCTACAGAGGCAGGTGCTGTTAGGGAGCACCTATTACAGCTTGCACTGCACACGAAGTCGCACTATTAACTTAGCATCACAAGCCAACCAATAACATAATAGACTAACACGTTGAACAACTGTTGCAAAGTGACGTGGTATACTAAGCATTGTACAAGGATTGAAAAAGATCAGTTTTGAACAAGGACATAATGTGCCGGATAATATTGATTGATTTTTTATGCAAATAAAATTTTGAGCCACCATGTACATCCAACAAGCAGATGTTGTAAAACGTCAATTCTTACACAAACGATTTCACGAGCAGCTCTAAGCGACTGTGCCCCATTCATCAAATCAACCTTGACGACCAAATCGACTTCATGCGCAGCGGTGCTGCCATCTGGTGGACTAATTCTAGATTTAAAGTTTTCGTGACTGCAAGGATTCATACTCTTAGTTCTTTCGGTAAAGTCACGTAGGTAAAAAAAATTTAATTAAAATTAATAAAAAAATAAAAACAATAAAATCACGACGTTTCGGAGGCAACACAAGCTTCCGTCTAAGAGTATCTGGTGGACGCTTCCCCGATCAGCGGTGTCCTTTCTACAACGAGAGTCTGGCAAGCGTGGCACGTTCCGTCAGCTTGGAGATGGAGCACAAGAGGGACATTGGCCTGCAGCATTCCGGGTTTCAGAATGGCGATGACTTTGGGTTGCCATTTGTTGGGATTTTGCCCACCCTGCGTATGAAGGTGAAGGAGGTTGAAAGCCGCTGTTGTCCATGTAGTCACGGGTTCTTGATGAATTCGGGGCACAGGCCATCACATCTTGGTGCATTGTTGGACTTTGTGACCTCAGCGCCGTTTCCATTTGAGCGACAGTGTATGGTCTTGTTAGATCTGTTGACTCAATGCGATGGTGAGTTGTTTCCGGACAGCTTGTTTGGTGAGATTGTCGATTGGTGCCGTTGAACAAGAAGGTGGTGACACCACGAATGAAGCTTACCTCTTGTCTATTGCCCATTCTCTACCTCTTCCGCCCGCTCACCCCTCCACTCTTTCCCATCCCTCCCCTACCCGTTCATCATCCCGAAGTAGCGTCTATCGCTGTCACTCATTCTTAAATCCTTGTACGCCCCTGCCACCTACATAATTCCATTCACCGTTTCGTACGCTATGTCAAGCACATTGCGTGAATGCGCTCTATAAATATAAATTCGATGAGATTGTGTAACCTGCCGTTCACGTGTTGCTCTCAGTGTCCATATTTCTAATGTTTTTGGCCAGGGAACCACATTTAGGTTTGAGAGTCCTTCAATGTTTAGCTGGTGCAGTCGAAGACCCCAAAGCCCTCATATCGTGGTGCATGGTGTAGTGTAGTATTGCGGTGTGATGCAGTGGTGTGGTGGGATGCAGTTTGGTGGAGTTGATGGTGTCGCTTCGTGGTCTGATTTTGTTGTGCGGTATAGTGTTCGGCTGTGAAGTTAAATGGTGCAATAGTGTAAAGCGGTTGGTGTAGTGTTGTACTGCAATGGTGTACATACCCTTTGGTTTTTTCGGTAAAGTCACGTAGGTTAAAGATAAAATAAAACTAAATAAATGAAATCAACTAAATTAAATCACGACGTTTAGGAAACAACACAAGCATCCGTCATCAGGTATGACCGCCCCAGCAAAAAAAACAAAGAGTATGAATCCTTGCAGTCACGAAAGCTGCATATCTAGAATGGAGTACATGGTATAATGTTTTCATGCAGTGGTGTGGTAAAGTGATTGGTCATCGTTCTGTGAGAGTGGCGAGTGTTTCATCAGTTGGTCTGGTGAGTGTTGAGGGGAATGATGAGGCTGGTGTTTGGTGTCAGGTGAGTGCTGGGTGATGTCTGCTGAATTTCAGGAGAGCAGTTTGTCTGGTGAGTAGTGAGTGGTGAGGTGCCAGGCGTGTTTGGAGAGGGTAAGGTGGATGGCCGACAAGGAGTGGTATGGTGAGAGTGGTGAGGTGGTCTGGAGAGGGTCCGGTGAGTGTCTGGTGGGGTTCTTAGCAGTGGTGTCAGCTCAGTGGTGAGTGATCAGGATAGAGTGGCACGTGTCTGCTGAGTGTTGAGACCAAGGGTGGCACAGTAGGGTTTTTTACAATCGGGGTTAATTGTCTTTTTATATTAAACCCGATCATCTGAGATTGTGAGAAATTCGGTTTAATTGGTTCTAATTGCAGAACCGCACTTCTCAGCGATGGGCTTCATCCATTCCAAGCTAAGGAACTCACTGGCGCCCACGATTGTGGAGGAGAAGCTCCTCGTGTTCATCAAGACCAACCTGCCCGCCGCATTCTACGACTACCCCGTGCCCGACGGCCCCGAGTACGATAGCAGCACCGACGAGGAAGCAGCCTAATCCTTGGATCAGAGTTTCGTATTCATTAAACCAGGTTTTAATTCCCCGAAATCGGGTTTAATTGTATTAAAGAAAAAAACCGATGCCTGCCGCTGTAAAAATGGGGTTTTTTCCACCCATGGTTGAGAGTGGCCACCAGAGGAGGTGCTGAGTCAATGGTGGAGACATCCCTAAGGGGAGAATGTAATTGAAAGAAGGGGACTGAGTCTCTGAGGGAGATAAGATAACCCCGACTGTAGGACGGGCAGCCCTCTAGTAGACTATTGTAGTCAAGGCTATACAGTCTATACCTCTACAGTGTAGCGGTATAGACTATGTTACAAGGAAAAATACGTCAAAGATTATGCTTTGGGCAATGACCCTTCTAAGTAGCACATAAATAGAGAGGCCAGAGATGTCGTGGTGGAATCAGAGACCGCACATTTTTCATGTTAAGGTGGATGACACACGAGGTTTAAAGTCAACTCAGCCAATCTAAATTTCGATTTAAAGCTTTCGTGACTGCAGGGATTCATATTCTTGGTTCTTTTGGTAAAGTCACGTAGAAGGGGATTTTTATTTATTTATTATTTCCCTTCTACGTGACTTTACCGAAAGAACCAAGAATATCAACCAATCTGGTTTGTGCATGACGTGCAAATGGTTGAGGCCCCCACTACATTGGGGAAACTGTTAAATGTCTTGCCCAACAGCGTCTGTCAGCTCGTCGTGCAGACGTGTTCAAACGGATGGCTTAGTCACTTCAAGTGGGCACCACAGCCCCACCTCAGCGATGATGAAAACATTAAAACGTCGGCTTTCGCAGCCAATATTGGGGTCCATATTTGTTTTTGGGTTCGACCACGTAGATACTAGTTAGCCATGTGTATGTGTTAACAGTATCTTTGGAAACGTAACAATCTTGTTGGGTGGTGGAGGGTTAATTATGGCATTAAATTACCATGTGGGCGAACCCACATTTTGTTACTTTATTACCATCCACACGTGGCTAGAGAATTCAGGCAGAGAGTAAAGAACACCACCTTGGTGAGTGAGTGAGACATGTCCACGTAGACTGCTGAGCAATGCTGTTGTGCTTTACTTCCAATCTCCGTCCACTGTCGGGGCATTGAACAAAGAAGCTTCCTGCCAGGAAGCACAAGAGCTGAGCGCCCCACCCGGAGCTGCTTCCTGCCATTGAGACGTCCAGCACAAGGTTTCTGCCACACTGCCAGCAGCTGCAGTCATCTACAAAGGGACATCTCAGAGGCATGCAGGATACCAAATGCTCCACGGGAACATTTTGTGTGAATACAGCGTACTACAGTTGGTAGTGATAGCATGATTGGGTATATTTTGGATGTATTTGTAGTGCCATTATAGGTGAATTGGCAATGGCAGTGAAATGGAATCTTCAAAAATGAGCAGTGTCCAATTTACACTGCTCCCTTTGTACACTTAACTAAATGGGGATTTGATTATGTTGATCGGCTAATGAAATAGACGCACCACATTTAGAGAACATCGATTTTTAAAACCATATCCATGTAAATATAGGATATATTATTAATGTATTATTCTTGTCTCTCATTCCAACACATCTTTATTGTGACCACCAAATTGTTTGCACCCAGGACTCATGGCAACTGGCAGCAGCAGCAGCAGCGCTGGCAGGAGCAGTCCAAGCCAGCTCCGCCGCCTGCTGCAGGTGAGCGAGGCGAGTGCCACACGCATGCAGGCCGTGGCTGATCTTCTGCTGTTGGCCTCCGAGATCCGGCCCGTGCTGTCAGGCCCCGCAGAGGGCCCTGGTGCCGAGGCAGTCGAGCCGCACGCGGAACAGCTCGCGTACGAACGCTGCAAGGAGTCCATCGCACTGTGCGCCAAGAACCTGGAGATCCTCATCTTCGATGTGCAGACGCATCTCTACATGGGTCGCTACGCCCAGGTACATTCTATTATCGGATTACCTTGAGTTCTAGTGGCAATCGTTTGCTCAGTTCTCTCATATTCAGCTGTATTTGTCAATACTAGATTTTGCACAATTTTTGGCAGTTTCAATAATATTGTTACAAGCGAGTAGAAATAAAGATAGTCTCATAGTACAGTGTTCAACAACCTGATCAGCTGATGTAGTTATTTAGATATGTGGGGATGTGTATTCACCTATTGAAGGTAAATACCTTCTGCTTGTGTCAGAAACTACTGACCCCCATATTACTTTGAGTTTGTTGAGAGTGCTTAAAACCCAGCCCAGTTGATGCATTAAGCATTTTTATTTAATGTACTTTTTAATTTTAATTTTCTCTTGTGCTTAAGTCGAAATACTTTAACTTGATTAAACATATTTTACACGTGAATATTTGTTGAATAATATAAAATATAACGAAAATCACATCGCATTCTTCAGACGCACATTTAGATCATATATTAATTTAAATGATTATCATCACACATGTGGCACACCTAGCATGCAGTTACCTTAAACTGAGCTTGGTCTGGCAAGTGTGCTACTTGTCTGCTGGCCTATAAGAGAAGCATGTCACTTCTTCATGGTGGAAGTTGTCAATGGCACAGACATTCGATGCACACGTGTGCTCTTGGGAGCTGCACGTCCACAACTAATGTCAAACTGCACACTCACACAACTCGTGTCATTTGGTGTTGTATGGGCATGTAACGGCTAATCGATGAGTATAACGGTGAATTCATTTAAATACATTCTGACACCTGCCGAACATGTATTGTTTAATTTTTGTAGAATGTAGTTAGGTCACATAACGCCTGCAGCCAGTGTGGATTCTCTATGCTCACTGACAAAAACAGAATATATTTTTCAATTGAATCGCGACCCTAAATCGTGACAATTTGTCGAATCAAGGCAAATAATTTCCACACAGTAACCTCTTTAAAGTGCAGCAATAAAACACACTGCAAGGCCTAACTCTACGTACCGACTTGGGAACTTTTTATTTAAAACAATCTCAATGATTTGTTTTTGTTTCATCTAACAGTTATCACAATAATCAGCACATTACGTTAACATAAGTTTAATATTTGGCTAATGGGCCTTTCAGCAGGACATGATCAGAATCAGAATCGTTATTTATCCTGGAGGAATCCGATGAGCTATGAAGCTCTTTTTCACAGAATGTCCAGTGTAATGTGACAGCATAGGATAAGGATTCATGGCTATGAACCCGGTGACCTGAGTTGGATTCCACAGCGAACATCAATGGCGACTGATACCTGAACTGCTCCTCATAATCGCCCCCCACTCTCCCTACACACCCTTCACCATCCTGAATGCATGGTGAGTATGGCTAAATTAACTCCCTTGGCCTCCAACCAGCTGCGGCTTGACGGAGGGCTGTTATTATAAAGTATTCACAAGAGCTCAATAACATGTCATCACCAATTATTCATTGTTACGGAATGCTTACACTTTCATATTAGCTGTTGCGAGCACAGTCAATTATTGCCAGCCATATATTTTGGGATGGTATTACATATTCGCTGTTTCCCCTCCCCCCCTAAATAAGTATTGCTTCAGTCCACGATCATCAGTTAAGTGTCATGCCAGTTACCACGTGTCACATTGGCGCAGGTGTGTGACAGTCTCGCCAGCACGGCTGAGCTGGTGGTGGCTTTGACCGAGCGCGCTGCTCACGCCGGCTACCTGGCTGCCATGGGCACCGCCGACTCTCAGCCAGCGGGGCCAGGTCACCTGGACCGCTACGGCTTGTGCCGGGCCCACCTGGAGCTGGAGCGAAGCTGGACGAGGCTACGAGACACCCCCATATGCGAGCTCAACTCGCGCGAGCTCATGGACGTCTCCACCAGCATTTCCAGGAACCTCAGGATGCTCTCGGAGCCCTGCCTGGCTGCCAGCGAGCAAGTGGACGAGCCGTTTGTCCGAGAGCAGCTCCGACTGGGCATTAAGTGCGTGACGTCAAGCGCCACGGCGCTCATCGCGTGCATCAGGGCTTTCAAGGAGCAGCCGGGTGAGCTGAGCCATCGACGCTGCGTGCTCTTCGGCGCCCCTCTCCTCGAGTCCGTGCAGGCGCTGCTGGGACTCTGCGCCGAGCCAGTCCTGCAGGGCACCGGGGCGGTGCTGAGTCCGCAGGGTCGTGCCATTCACACGTCGGTGCTGGGTGGAGCCATGAGCGTCGTGGCCGCCTGCGTGCTGCTGTGCCGGGGAGTGCGCGGAGTGGCTCAGCAGCCCGAAGGGCGCCGGCTGCCGGAGCTGCGGCACAAGCTGCAGCGCGCGGCGTGCGCGGCTTCCCACGGCTGCACTCTGCTCTTGCACGCACTGCGAGATGCCCTGCAGCCCACGAGCATGGACGCAAATGGGATCAACCTTCTGTGAAGTTCAGCGGCTGGAGTTTTCAGGGAGAAAGAACATTAACAAGAAAATTATCGCAAAAGTAGCTCACAAAGGAAGCCAATGACGCTGGCTTTTTCGTCACTTTAAACGACAGCGCAGTCTCGATTTAAAGCTTTCGTGACTGCAGGGATTCATCTTCTTGGTTCTTTCGGTAAAGTCACGTAGAATTGAAATAATAAAATAAAACAAATATTATTTTATTATATTATTTTATTATGTTTTATTATTATTATTTTATTATTTCAATTCTACGTGACTTTACCGAAAGAACCAAGAAGACAGCGCAGTCATTTGCGGAACCACGTGGCATCATCGCCAATGCCTCTGTAGAGGTCTCTGTTAAGTAAGCAATCTTGCTCTTTGTAGATTTTGGGACACCTCTCATAAAAAAGTATCAAAATGAAGAATGACAAATACTTAATAGGTGTAGGATACATTATAGATTTGAAGTTGTCGTGACTGTAGGGATCCATACTCTTTGGTTCTTTCGGTAAAGTCACGCAGGTATAAAATAAAATAAATTAAATCACGACGTTTCGATTGCAACACAAGCAATCATCATCAGGTGTAGGATGCATTCAGAGGACGATACACAGGGAGAGTAGAGATGCCACAGATTCATGTCCTACATATAGTTTGAGCATTTTGTGGTAGTTGAACCCTACATTTATACGTAAAATATACTAACTGCGTAAATGTCACATTGTAAAAGTTTTGACCAAACACAACCTCCTTGGATAGAGATTGTTTTTGGCACGGCCACTGCTAAGCCAGGAAACAGGCCGAGAGGATTTGGCCAGGATTTGTAGGATGCTGGAGCATGGCAAGAAGCCATGCACGCGGATAACATCACACAACTCAAATCACAGATACCCAAGCAGCCGTGACGACAAAACCAAAACACGACTCTACATGTCAGGTTACACGGACACTTGGCTGCGACCGACCATACGTCAGCCCACACGTATTGTATGAGGTGGCCAGAATAGATCAAGTGGATCTGTGCGCTTGTCTGTATGGACGATGACTTTTCCCCTTACATGTGCAGCGACGCAGATCGGAGACAGTAATACTTCTGTATTAACCAAGCACCATCGGGATATATACACACCCGATGTGGGTGAACACTATTATAATTAAGACCGTCTCTTGTCTGCGGCACTACTTAGTTAGAACAGTTGGTAGGCTGTCTGACGAACAGAGTCCCTGGGGATGGTGAAGACGGAGACGACGACGACGAGATGGTGACGACGACGAGATGGTGACGACGATGAGATAGTGACAAAGATGCTCTTGAACAGCACGACGGGGATTCCACTTCCAGCAACAGCCATGAGGTCTCGCTCAGGGCCCCCTCATTATACTCCCAGCGTGGCCTCGCTCCGCCCCAGCCACGCCCCCTTTCTGGAACCTACTAGCAGGTTCCCGGGGCTTCCCGATGGGCCGCTTCTGTGACCTTTCCCCTATATCGTGGCCTGCTGACGCGAGTACTGCCATACACCGCAGTTACCCTTTTCTGCCAGCAGCCGGCGCTATACCACTACACAGGCATTGGGTATTCTTTGGGTCCTCCAGTTTCCTCCGACATGCACAAAACACTTTAGGAATCCGCCAGTACTATATTGTGATACACGAATTGATATGCAAGATATTGTATTTTTTATATTAATATATTATAGGTGTAATTGAATGATATTAACACTATTAACAGTAATACGGTGGATTAACCACCTAATACATTTCTTTTAAGTTAACATTGACATCAAGTTTATATTATGAACACTGACAACAATCTGTGTATTGTTAATTAAATATTCCAAGACAATAAAATATAATTGTGTAAATCTACAACCTTCAGAGTTAAATTATATGTGATGAAAACTTTGTCTGCTCAATTAATAGCCAAGGCTGATTGAGCTCAATATTTTTTAAAGGGAAAAATACAATTTGCTTGAGTTTGAACCTTTGAGTGTTTTCTCAGTGTAAATTGGCAACTCCGAGTTAAAGTTAAGTCGGGCCATTTTGAAGGTCACATGAGGGTCATACGACAGTGGAGAGCCAATCACAGTTCAGCATTTCTGAAAAAAACCCTTTACCCCCCCCCCCCCCTCATGTAAATACCTCAAAAGCAGGTGGATTATTTAAAATCCACAATTTGACAATAGCAATTCACCATTTCCTTTCCTCTTAATTAAAGCTTGTTTGTTATTTTCTTGGTTCTTTCGGTAACGTCACGTAGAAGGGAAACAATAAAATAATAAAAACATTTTATTGTTTTATATTTTTATTATTACCGAAAGAAACAAAAATATGAATCCCTGCAGTCACGAAAGCTTTAAATCAAAACTTGTTTGTTATATTAAGACAACAAGTTGCACATTAAACTGGCTCATGAAAAGTAGCTATGTAAAGTGCATAAGTACCATCGTATGAACAGAAACACTCCCATGAGTTAGCGTCTGTGTTTGTAGGCACAGTTTAAAAGCAACTAAAAATGTTGTGGTAAAGCCAGCCCCACTCACAATGCCTCCACCAGGATTGAAGTGCAGTTACTTCTGCTTCAACTTTCAAATGCAAGACGTTGGATGCATGTGCACAGGAGGCACACGTCTGTCTACGCATACTGCATTCATAAGCTATGACGAATTAATTCTAGATTTGAAGCTTTCGTGACTGCAAGGATTCATATTCTTAGGTTTTTTCGGTAAAGTCACGTAGGTAAAACATTAAAATTAATAAAAGTAAAATAAAATAAAAATCACGACGTTTCGGAAGCAACACAAGCTTCCGTCTTCAGGTGGAACCGTCACAGCCCGACAGCTGTATCAAGTAAATGAGAGATTACAGGAGATACCACTCCGTTTATATAATTAGATACAGCTGTCGGGCTGTGACGGTTCCACCTGAAGACGGAAGCTTGTGTTGCTTCTGAAACGTCGTGATTTTTATTTTATTTTACTTTTATTAATTTTAATGTTTTACCTACGTGACTTTACCGAAAAAACCTAAGAATATGACGAATTAATATTGCTAATATATTTTCCCAACTGATGGTGTGAATGGGATGTGCCAGTAAATGTGATTGCAAAAGTAGTGAGAAATGAGTAGTCATATAGCGATGCCACACGGAATGGTGGTGCGGTAACTAGAGAATCAGAGTTTGCACAGGGTTACGAATGCTACTTGGCAGCTGTGCGAGGACCATCGACACTTCTGCCACCCAAGTTGGTGCCAGGGTCTCGAGTTTTGCGTTGGTTCCAGGTTGATCAACCTCAGATGACAGGCTGGAAAAAATTGAAAAATGCGTTAGAGACCGTCCATAAATGACGTCACGCACCTGGAGGGGGGGGGGGGGTCAGACATTTGTGACGATGTGTAACGATGTGTGACGAGGTGGGGGGTGGGGGTTGAGAAATGTGACGTCACATCAAAATGCGAAACTTTAAATAAATATAGACAACACGTTACACTTAATTAAATAGACTTTTTAATAAATATCTTCTCCTACAACATCAGAGTGCAGCGCCACATTAAATACGCACTACAATGACAATAGTTTAAAGCGATTTGAAGCATGTTTTATTTTCAAAATGGAAATATGTTTTGGGGGGGGGGGAGCATCGCTTTGTGACGTCATATTTGAGTGGGGGGGGGTCTGACTTTTTGTGACGCCGTGTGACGAGGGGGTGGGGGGGTCAGAAATCGTCCAAAATCGCGTGACGTCATTTATGGACGGCCCCTTAGCCAATTCGCGGTTTCTTACTTCCAGACAGATGTCTGACCATTCTACGAATCCCGTGGGCCCCAGGCAAGTTGAACAGCGAGGACTCCCTTGACGACCAGCATCATGTTCACCATGGCAACGGTTGTCATGTCATCGCAGCGGAGGATGGACCGCTTTGCTCAGGACCGGGCGTCCATCTCGACCACGAGCTGCTCGTTGAAGAAGCCCCGACGCTTCCCCTCGTTGAGATTTGTTGTTGCAAGGGCACCAACAGTGGAGGCCCCCCGAGTACGGAGAGGAGCCACTGCAGGGTTCGCATGCGGAGGCTGGCTCAAGGGAGTAAGTACGTCGACCATGGCAGAGAGGTGGCTGATGAGCACCAGAAAAGACTGGGTCAGTTTCCGAGAGCGGTCAACAGAGAATCAAACCAACACAGCATAGCAGCCATAATTCTCGGGTGTCATGCAAGCCAAGCCTGGACAGTGTTGAGGACAGCACCCAGATGTTTGGGTCAATGTGAGGAGGGCAGCTTACAATTGGTCCCATTGAGAGGAAAAAAACGTTGGACTGTTAAGATAAAATTACCGCCCTCGCCTAGGATTCCAAGGAGCTGTTTAGTGGCCGCACGAATGAGTATGTCATCCAAGTAGGCACAGTCATAGTGGCCCTGCCAACTTGGCATGACCACAAGAACCTCCAGGACCTTGGTAAACCCCTCAGAAGATGTGAGGCCAAAGGGGAGGATGCGAAACTGGCAGCGATGACCCATCACGCAGAAGCGGAGAAACCAGTGGTGGCCGGCCAGAACGGCCAAAGCATCGTTGAGCCCAAAACCTTCATGATCGCCCCGATGTCGCCCAACGTTGACACCTCCGTTTCCAAGGCCAGCGTCAATGTGGGGCCCTGTGATGCACCGTAGTTGATCCAGAGAGGCCCAGGGAGATGCCAATGGAATTGCAAGACAAATGTATAATGCTAAATGTCTAAGGTCACTTGCATATTTGCCCCTTGCAGATTGCTTCTAATTTTAAGTTGAAGGCTCCAGTCCACGAGGTTGCAGCCACCGTGGTGGAATGTCCCTATAACAACCGCCATTCGCCACTAAGTGGCGGTGACGTCACTACGACGCTTGTGCCAGGCTATGTTCACCTTGAGGCCACGTGAAGTGTCGAACGCCCGCTGGCAGGAGGTCACGGGGCAGACCCAGGTGCCACAGGTCGACTGACTGAGATGACTCGCTGATGCACCACCTGTGCCCCCTACTGTGCCTATACCCCTGTAGCAACGCACAACACAATCTCACCGCCACAATGACAGTCTAACCTTAGATGCTGGCTTTCCCCTAAAAGCGTTGCCGTTTAAGATGTACAACTTCTACAAAGCCCACCATTTGGCCATTCTTTGTACGTGCAACTCAAGGGCTCTCTCGCCTTCGTCAGCATTTCCCTGCTGTGTTGGTCTCGCCTGATGACGGTTGCTTGTGTTGCGATCGAAACGCCGTGATCTATTATTTTCTACCGACGTGATTTCACCGAAATAACCAGAGCATGGATTCCTGCAGTCACGAAAGCTTCAACTTAAGATTGATAAGCCTGCTAGTAAGGCTTGTAGCTCCCCAACCATCCTGGCCAATGTAAGAACAAGGTACCCCCCCTCACTTCAAACAGGTAAAACACCTGACATGGGAGGCAAGGCGCTTGAGCTGCAGGCCGCACTGGCAGCGCCTGAGGACGTGTTTAAGTGCCATAATGCGATCAAGAGTATAGCATCAAGAGACATAAAATGGAGAAACACTGTAAGTTGTGTTCCCCCACACTTTCCAGCTGATGGTGGTTCTCGCCTACGCTGTACCCGCTCATGCAGTGCAGAAACGAAGGTGGGGGGCTATGGGTAGAATGGGTTAAGTTGGGTAGCGAGGGCAGAGGTCCACCCTCAAACAGCCTTCTCTGTATACGTTCCGTGACCCTGCGGGATTTTGCTAAATGCATACAAGACCAGTAGACGGCAGAAATGTAATAACAAAAAAAATGCACTTTAAACTCACTAAATAGTGTGGTCGTTTTGCCTTCCAATGAAAGCTTCACACTTAGTTTAGGGTCGTTTTGAAATATGGTATATTTTGGCCACAACGGGGCAACCCACCCTCGTGAATGCCAACAAAGAGTCCGTTTCGTCCCCTTTCCACCAGACATCCAGCTTTAGTTAGACAACACGTGCATTGGCAGGAAGTGATGGTAATCAAATTCAAAACGGATGGAAAATGTGCTTTGCGGTGAGCCTATGGAACACTACTACGGCGTCCTTGTTAATCCTGGGATGATCTATGTAATGATATATAGTATCACTGTTGTGGACAACCACTCACACTTAATTTTTTGCCAGCATATTAAATGTGATACTACGGATACTGATGCCACTGTTCATTGCAAAATACGTGAAATTACATCTCGTTTTGACACCTGTCCTGGTTTTCCCAGGACATCCTATGTTTAAGATGTGGGTGGTCCTGAGAAATCTCTTCCCAAGGATGTAAAAAAATTTCAGCATTTTGTCAGTGTTGTAATAAGACATCACTCAAGGCATTTACATGTATTGTTGTTCTGCCCTCTTCCACCGTCCAGATATTATTTTTCTGATGTCTCGGTTTTTTGTATCTCTGGTGGCAACATGACAGCTCGAGTGGAAACAACCATTAAACCCACGAGACCACCATTCCACCATGTAGCATTCAGCACACGCAACAGCAATAAACACACTTTAAAATCTACTGTTAAACGACGACCTTCACAAAACATAACCAGTCAGCTGGAGCTTTATTGTGTACCACAATCACTTTCATTAGCAAAAATATAGCGCCACACCTGTTGTGGGAGATTTGTAAATCCAAGGTGGTTATGTTTTCCTTGGATGGATGGAGTCAAGTAATGTCCCCAGTTTTAAAAAAAATTCACCATTACATATACATACTTTAAAAATATGATGAATGTATGCACTCATATACATCCTATATCAAATACAAGCATTATTATAATGCTACCAAAATTATAATTCAAAAATGACATAGATTCAAGTTGACCTCTTCACATAAACATGGCTGACACATTTAGGGCCACTTCACTTCATATATATTCATGATCCACGTTGTTCTGGGACCCAGCCACTATAAGTGGCAACATGACATATGCTGAAAAGAAACAGTAACACGTCACAAAAATATTACACACGTAATTTCCTCTTCACGTCACATGTTATTCGGCTATAAATTAGAATCATTCAACGTTATTTCGAGCATTTATTTCCCTTGGGCCTCATTAAATTAATATTTTAACCAGGTTCAAATTCGATCACAATGGCTTTACTTTGCAGAGTAAAGATTAATCTTTAATGTTTGCAATTTGTGATGTTTTAGCATTGTGCCAAAATACTAAGGAATAGGTTACAAAATATTGCATGAAATACGTAAATCATTGAGCCAATTGAAACAGTTTCATGCGTGACACTTATTTGATATAATCAGCACAATGCATATTGAGCATGTATGCACAATACATCTCACACCGTATAGGAAGAATACATTTGAATGAACTCATGTTTGCAGCAGTTTGCCGTTCTAACAACAGAAAGAAAATACAAACGTTCAATTTATTTTTACATTGTTAATAGTATTGTTGCCAGAGAGGACAAATTCTAAAATCAATTGCACTTCAGTGCAGTTTCGTCACTTATCAAAAATGTAAATAACAGCCCCGATTTTATACACTGAATGCACCGTCAGATTAAATAACAAACAGCAATATTCTTTCCGATTGTGGGAATTGCAGGATTGGTATTTCAGTTTTGCAACGAAGCATACGGAGTTGTTATGGTTCCCTTTCCTAGTTTTTCTGATTCGAGTCTTAGAAACGAGCCCATTGCTCCTCATTCGAAAATGCACACTGGTGAAATGCACACTGGCTAACACACTTCAATTAAAACAAATGTAAACAGCAATGAGTGATAACACATCATATGGATGATACAGGCATGAATGTGAAATTCGCATCTGGCACCTAACAGTGATTTAAAAATATTCGGATAATAGGTATTTACCACCATTGTATGGTACATTTCTTTTGCACCGTACACAGCCAACCGTGCAAATTGGAGGTGCAAGTGTCCGCTTCCTGACAATCCTGTTAAACCATAAACAATTAATGGGACCTGCTTTCTTTGATAAGACATGGTACTTATAATGCATTCAAAAAAATATATTAAAAATTGTTACATGATGCTAGTGTTCAACAAGAAAATGCAGTTTTGTGACGCTGCTTTTATATTTGCATGTGCAGAATGACTTACAGCAATGCGGTGGGCAATGACAGTGGTCGAATACAATGTATCTTATTCTACAATGATTTAGCACATATTGAAATAAAACCTCATCAGGGCATCATGTGAGATAAGGTCACAATTACAGGTCTGGTTTACATCATATGAAGCTATTGTAGGAAATGCGTGAAATGCACTTCACCCAATCCAGAACTAAATAATGTCTTCATGGCTTCAGCATGCTCAAAATTAAAGGATATCCTGGAATGGTTTGTAGGCAAGGTTCCCTTTGAAAAGATTGTCTAACTTCATGGTACATCAAGAGTTTCAATAGATGACATTATCTTTATAAGGGAAATATTTACGTCATTGGCCTTATCAGCAAGGTGTTAAGGGACCAGCATATTAGCACAAACAGTGCTCAATATAGAGCAATCCTGAACAAAGTCTTCATCAACCGACTAATACCCATCTCTTGAAGTTTAGCCATGGGTCATTTCAGTCAATTCTGTAAGTTGCCGTGTCAGAACGTTTAGGAACATAGCAGCACCAGAAGTGTCTGCAGCTCGTCCATGCTGTCAGCAGATGATAACAAAGGACCACAGCTGCCTGTCCAGGTCTTTTAAGCATTTAAACCTCTTGCATAGAAGTCCAGTATAATTATTAAACCAAAGTAAAACATATTATGATACCCAAAACATGTGCATTTATGAAAAAAGTTATTGTTGAATGAATGCAAAATGTGAATTTTCGCCAACATCCAACAAGCTATTTGTTCTGACTCGGTGGTAAGAAGGTCTTTCCCATGATGAGGGCCAATCTCTCCATAGGACAATTACAGTTCATGGTAATATCATCTAATTTAGGGCTGGACTTAATTGTTTGAAAATATACACCAAGTATTTTTGAATGTAGTGTCCATAAAAAATGTTATTGGTTATCACGAAATAATTCGTGGTAATTCAGTGTAATTAAAATGGCGAGTTTTAAAATAGCACCATAATTTTCACTTTGCCATCGAAGCCTGGAATGTGCACACTCTTCATTACATTGTAATAAAGAAGTTGGATTAAAAATGTCAATTACAGCCTACGCCTAAAGATCCACGCTTCATCTCTGTCAATATACATCTTCACTGCATAAGATTCCCGATATGAAAAAAACTGGTGTAATTTCAAGTCTACTTTCACATTTATTTGAAAGTTAGTTATTTTAATAATTATTTTAAAATGAAATCGCACATTTTAGAAGTTGACCACGTTTCATATAGTCTTGGTTCTTTCGGTAAAGTCACGTAGAAGGGAAATAATAAAATAAAACAAAATATTATTTTATTATTTCCCTTCTACGTAACATAATGTTATTTTATTATTGCCCTTGTACGTGACTTTACCGAAAGAACCAAGAATATGAATCCCTGCAGTCACGAAAGCTTTAAATCACATTTTATATAGCCTCGATTTGCTTATTGTGGATTGTGAAATGTCTCTTTCCTAATATTGAGAGACAATATTACAACAACACTCAGAGGCTTCATCGTCTAATCATGTGTTGGCGGAAATAATGTATGCTTATTTAACAAAAAACTGGCCCAAGATAGCAGAGAAACCCATTAAAGGTGCCATACTATTAATCCCCTCTGCCCCAGGTGTTTGGTTAAAAGAGTGCGAGGTTAGTGGAGCCAAACGGCAATGAGAGAAAAGCCTCACTTATACAAGATCCATGAAGGCCTTCCAGGAGCAAACACCAGGATATAATTGCACTGGCAAAGACGCTATTACTGCTTCAGAAGTGTAAACATATACCTTTCAGATGTCGCATTCATGCACAAATACTTTCTGAAAAATACATTAAGTCCTCTATTTACATTGCTCCTATTTACATTTCACTGTCACGGATTCGGGAACGTAATTCGATTTGAAATGCATCCACTCCAATGCTGTTTTGATCTTTTTTTTACTTATATATTCAAATTTGTTACATAATCTTTTTTGGTATCTTTTGCTTTTATTTTTTCTTACTTACAGTATTTTATATTGTTTCTGCAATTTTTTTAACCAAAAAATTCTCCCCAAGAATGCATCCTAAATGTATATAATTAAGTCAAAGGTAAAATAGGTTTAGATTGACGTTCTTTCACCACACGTCATGTTTTCCAAGGATGTATTCCCAATGTAAATAGAGGCCTTATCATAAATGTTTTTGGACATATGTTACCATCGCAGACACAAACACGTATATGTGTGTGCCATAACATAATTAGTCTGACTGCTTCCGACACAAAACTGACCGATGTCTCAGGAAAATAGTTGCCAATCGTGATGGCCATGCACCTTAAGGCCATGCGACGTGTGGGGTAAATTTCGGATGCAATTGGCTCATTTCCACCAACACATGAAGCAATAAACCAAATTGAGGCCAATTTTTCCGCAATATCAGCTTTGTGAGGGAGAGTTTAAGCAGCAACAATAGCCAATGTGTGTATGTATTCTTGCGACCAAATACTTACGTGGACTACGCATAATATTATCAATAGAATTTGCTTCAAATTACAAAAATCATGCTGAAGAGTGCGTAGCAATGATAAAAATGCACATATTGATTGTTAAATGTTTTCCAACAGTTACATGGAATGACTAAAATTCCCAATCAAAATTTAAGTATCCGAACCACCTTAGTAATCAGACATTTTACAAGGAAATCCAAGTTATGATATTTGCTCATGTGAATTCCTTTCAGTAAAATTAAATGATTATTCTTTAAGCAAATTATGGCAGCCACGCTGACACCATAAAAATGACCGTGCTGAATGCGCACCAGATATGTATATTTCATTTGTTGATTGGGATACGAAGTCACTGTCACCACTAATAATGGAGTACTGTCGGTACTATGTAAGTGTATATAACCATACAAAGACAAACATCTCCTGTATAGCCTCAACAGACTTTTGGGACAAGTGCCGTTAGCGAGCACTTATGAAGACCGGCACGACACACGAGGGGTTGAGTGGCCAGCACCACACCTGGACGCCTTTGTCTCCCCAGTGGCGATGTTTGCACATCGCACAAGGTACTCATTTGAGGCCGAGTCTACCTAGGGGAGGCCCATGATTAATTCAGATAATAATCAAACACTACTGCTCCCCATATCTATACACACACACACATGTACCATACACCATGTAGCAGTGTCTGCGTGTTCAATGGGGCAGCATGCATCTCCATGAGTAGCTTGAGCCATTTGTGAATCTTACTATGAGGAGACCAGGTGCTTCATATGACAATAACTTTTAATTTCCCACAGAGTGGTAACTAATTAATCACCGAATCCTTCACTAGATTTGAACTAGCAACGTTGTGATTGTGTAAAAATATCTGACCACACTCATTCAGCCGTATTATGTGTAGAGCATATACAGCAGAACTCCAAACACTCACAGTGATGATGGAAGGGGACCATATCGTGGAGCACATAATTCTCTGCCCATTGCCGAGGTTAGTTCTGTAATCCATGAAAATAATGTTCGCGTGGTGTGCAGCAGATTATGGGAGGAAAGAGCTGTGCGATTCCATTTATTTACAAAAAATTGCGGATGACAGGGGAAGTGCAAACATGCGAGTACCAGCTAAATTACCAGATAACTTAATCCACAATGAATTTGCAGATTACTAAATTACGAGTTTTCCAAGACCCAAACGGTGCAAATTTGCCATATGGGTCTATATTAAGGGATTTATTTAGGATTGTTTTAGACTTGATATCCTAAGTCTAAAGAGATGAAGACCTAACAGAGAATGGCTTCACGACGTAAGAGATTGGTGCCAGACAGATGTGCACTACTTGAGTATATTGTCACAAGACTGAGGAAAGTGGAAACAAATGATGAAATATGCAGTGGACAAATATGTCCACGGGCTATCTGCCCATGGATTGTGATGATGATCCCAAGTAACAAAAACGTTTAATTATTTTCGACTAAACAATTCATACCAGCACAGCGAATCTGTGATGATGCAAAAACTAAATCTTAAATCCACGTTTCCTTCCAACTCCGTCCCTCTATGGATTATGGTTTACGGACCAAGATACGTTTTTAATCTGCCATAGAGTGCCATGTTTAACAAGTGGAATGAGCCACACGGCCCCATTAAGCAAAAAATAAAATGTCTGGATTAGGTCGGTAAGGCTCGCAAGTTAACCTGCGGATGCTGCTGATACGGTGTGCTGTGAATCAGAGAATTCCCTGCTCCCAAAAAAGATGCAAATATCGTTTTTGGATTTCTGGTTCAGATCATGGGAGGTGTAAACCTTCAATAATCCACAAATTACAGGAATTTGCAGATTGGAGTACATATTATTGGAGTCCTGCTTCAATAGCACGTGTCTATACATATATATGAGGTCATATGAAAAGAAATCAGTTTATTTTTTCCAATGCATTACTTTGCAATTGCCCATTTCAAATGTTGAAATGCAATAACAGCTTGGAGACAACAATTCAGAAATTGTGATCATGCGCACATGGAATTGTAGTTTGTGCTGCGCTGTACTTCACTGTCATTCCATTCCAAAACCTAAACCTGATGGTGACATAACTGCACGACCAGTCATTGTGAAAAAAACCCATCAGTTATGCAGACGCCTTACACCGGTACAATTCCTGACTTGTTGCGATTGCCTGTGCTTGCTTGCCATTTAAAATATAAAACAAAATGCATGCAATATTAGGTTGTAATTTAAATAACAAAAAATGTGTTGCTTTGTGGAAGGCCTTTTAGGCTATTTTTATGTTAAATGTTTTCATGAAGTAAATGCTGATCACAATTAAAACTTGTCATCTGGCAACAATTTCCCAAAAAATGATGAAATTCTTATTTCATAAGCGACTTGATTAAATGTGCCCCAAATTGTAACAAATGTGAATATAGTGAGAAATTATATTGTATATTTATTTATTATGTTTGTTTACTCAGGAAATCCTGAAAGAATTTAAGGAGATTCCTGCCAGGTTTTCGCAGTAGGGGGTTGATGATTGATATGTACAATCAAATAAAGTAATTTGCGGTTAATTTTTAGATTTAACAATTTGGATCATTTGCTGGCATACAAGGCCTACTCTTGCGGTAACGTAAGGGGATCTTTATTATCCATTGTGAAGCAGACGTTTATTTTTTTATGGTTAACATAATCACAGTATTAATCAGGGAGGAGGCTGGATTTGAACGAGGAACCGCTGTAACAAGCAACAAGAAAGCGTTACAGCTGGGCCATGTGACTGCCCAAATTTATTTACGTTTGTCATAATTTGGTCATTACAAAACCTGATCTAACACATCTTCCAATATTTGTGCCTGCATTTAAAATGCAAAACAAATACCGGACACGTATTTCATTAGATTTCACATGGTCTGCAAAGAAAATAAAAGTTTTTTTTCATTTAAAAGATTACATTTTTGTGACAGACCCACCATTGCTTGGCACTTTTTTCCAATGTTCAATGCTGGTCCTCTCACAGAAAGTTAAACTGAACTGACAAAAACAGGGACAAACGCTTGCACACAGCTCTCACAAGCTCCAATGCACTCTCCTTCCCAATCGTCATGTATGTACATGTAGCCTGCTGTCATCTCACTTGCACAGACAGCAGACGTGGAGCATTGCTCATTAATTGGCTCAAGATACAAAGTACAATTCAAAAGAATGGCCTCGTTTCACTGCTATCCACGTGGCAGCATGAAGCTTCACCAGTATCCTTGTTCCAAGGAGAATTCTATTCGTTTACATTCTTTACCGAGACTACATTGGTGTATGCATACACATACTCCAAGCTGTCTGAGCAGCACACATTGTCAAAGGTAGGGTAGTGCACGCACAATTTGAGGTTTATTTCCCATTGTCCCGCTGCCGCTTTGTGTAGAAGAGGATGTAGGCCTTAGCCCTGGCCACTGTGTCCTCCTCTGATCGGGTAACTGTGCTGTCATTGAAGTGGAACCAGAGCCCATTGTGCGCCGCATATGCTGTGTAGTGTCCCGAGCCAACCCTGCACACACACGGCGACACATTCCTGTTATTTAGAAGCACTCACGAGGCTGTGTGTTGAATATAATTTAAATCAAGAATGTACAGCATCACAGACAAACACAATGAATGTGTAATATGTGTGCCAACCAGACCCCACTCGATAATCACAATTCGTGGTCACGATTACATTTATATTGATTGTTTAATATGTTATTACAGCGTGTTTAGACAGGTAAGAACTCATGAGACCAAGATAGTCTCATGCTCTACCTAAAAAGAAACCTCACCACAGAATTTTTTACCGAGGGCCTTGCTCAGACCCAGATTGGAAGCACAACAGCTCCAACCTCGTCTCCTACCGCTGCCTCGTAGCACAGTAGAATGCACTCATGAGTGCAGTACACAATACTTACTGATGTTATAATTATACTTTGTTTAAAATGATTAAATAACGTTTACCATCAATAGTATTATGAGCGCTATTACTGATACCCCAATGAAGCACTCATATATTGCTCATACGAAATAAATAACGCTGTTTGGAACGTATTCCCATAAAAACAATGATATTATGGCTCCTTTTAGCACTCATTCGTTTAGCGCTCAATTCTTCAGGAATGCATCTCGAGTGCTAAGCGAGGTCTGCCTGTACAATACAAATAGTCCAAATCTTTTCAAAGCAGGAGCTAAACATACCCACAAACGCGTGTTGCTTAATACCGAAGATAAGTGTCCTTGTTTTGACATCTTATATATATAAAAAAAAGTCTAAATTTGTCTGTGGGTTTGTGGCGGGGTTTGTGTGTGGGTTAGTTTGTGTTTGTGCGCTTGCGAAGGATTTGGCTCTCCAACGGTGGGGTTAACGTTAAATAAAAATGGCCAGGTACCACGCGAAGCCCCGTGCGATTTCTGTGCGCTTTCTTCTTATTATTTTTTATGACACGTGCACGACCGTACCAACTCACGCGCCTTTGGTGGGGGGGGGGGGGGGACGGCCCATGCCAAGTCGCATGGCATCGGTGGGAGTGAGGGGGGCATTTTCTTTCGCGTTAAAAATGCTATTAAAAAATACACTAAACGCTCAGGTAAATTCTTCACTGTGTGATGTCCCCCCCACCCCGATGCGTGCAGTTACTACTATACAGTCGTATAGGCCGTAGATATTACTGCAGAGATCGTGGCTGGGGGGGGGGGGGTGGGGGTCAGGGGTAGCAGCCCAGCCTTAGCCTGCCAAGGTGCCACCTTGGCCAGCTGGACAATCTAGGCGAGGCCAGAGGCTCTGCACGGGACTAGGCCTCACCACGCCACTGTCAGGCGAGTACTTTGTGCTATAGAGTCGATAAATACTGCTATAGAGTCAGCATGTACTACTGTAGTGATAGCAGGTACCACCACAGTCGGTATGTACTGCTGTAATCATAGCAGGTACCATCACAGTCAGTACGCACTGCTGTTAGATTTTTAAGAGTAGTTTTGAAATATTTTTTTGGCCTGGGCAACGCCGGGTAGAGAAGCTAGTACCAAATAAAAATCAATATCAGCAAACTGTCAATCTAATGTCCGGGCTTGTAATATTAGGATCACGCCTTGGACGTATCTGCGCTTGCCCGCTGGATAAGTAGGCTCACCCCGATCCGTGATGCACCACGACCGCTGCAAGGTCATAGAGGCTGCAACTGTTGCTGCTGCCTGGTGGCTCACCTTTCTCCTGCTGTGGTAACGACAAAATATTGCAATATCTGTTACTCATTATCGAAGCCTTTGTTTATAAACCTACTTTATGTATTTTCTGTAATTACTCTGAGCACCTCCAAGTCCCAAGCAGTTAAGGGGTGGCATTAACATCAGTTTAAATAAATACATGTTCTAATTTGAAGGCTAGAATTTTTATAATAATAAAAAACACACCAAATATATAAAGTAAAACTCTCAAAGTCAGATGCAGGAAAGATATAACTTTGGGTTTTCCAACTACTCAAGGATTTTAAAATATTACCGTATATTTAGAAATGGATTTCCAAAATATTAATGAATTTCTTTGAGCATTTAAAGTACTAATTTAAAAGTAAAAGCACTGTATTAAATATTTGATTAAAGCAAAATTAGAGTAATTTAGTTTGTTACAAATATATTGACAATAATTTATGTACAAAATAATTGTTTCTGCGCTATTTAAGCTATGTGCGGAAGGTTACAGTGTTTTGTGGCCATTAACTTTTACATATTAATGAGAAATGTGTTTCATTTGCAAATTGATCTCCAAAAAAATAGTGTATGGTCACCACCAGCATGCCACATATGTTAGACCGATGCAACCGCGAAGACACAATGTTGGTTTTAACCGTGCATTCTTTAACTTTTTACATTTATTTAGTAAATAAGTGACTGTTAATATATATTTTTAACAAACTAAATCACTCTTTATACTTGAAGTGTTGTATAGAGTGCATATATTTGCCAAATTAGTACTTAAATGCTCAAAAGAAATTCATTAATATTTTGGAAATTTATTTTCTAAATAGGTTTTCACCGTTATTGTGTTAATAACATTCAAATATTAGGTGTTAATCACATACATGTTGAATACAAAAGAGTAACGGTATAATTATTTAACTTCTTGCAGTGTCAGACATCCTCATCACCTGAGAGGCAATCCCCTCCCAATATTGATCATAAATATATTGTAAATCATTCACGTGAAAATGTGTCAAGTGATTTAAGATATTTTTACATGTCATTGTTGGACAGGACATGAGTATAAAACGTATGTTACGGAACGTTATTTCGCAAATGGAAGCACATAGTGGAAAGATTACAAAAATGTGAACAAAAAAAATCAAACATACAGGAACAATTTTCTCTACAGCATGCCACACTGAGTGAACAATTTTAAACATTTAACATAACAGTACCAGTTCCTTCTGTCTGTGTCTTTGCGGAATGGCAGACAGAGGTTGTTTTTATTTAGATTTTCTCTAGATTTGAACCAGGTGAATTTCCAAAGCTACTGCTGTAGGAAACACCACCACCAGTGAAAATGAACTGGGACTGAGCCTCAAAAATCTCTCAATAAATTAAGTTAAGTAAATCCAGCGTCCTTAAGTCAAGAATAAACATAACAGTGGAAATTGTGTCCTAACCACTAACTGCACTGTACATGTAGTTGCACAGGTCACCATCAGCTCACACAGTTGACACACATTCACAAGCATGGTGGCATTTCTAAAGAGGACTCCAATCCCAATACGAGCAATTGAGAGTTTAACTGGCTGTCACATTTTGCACACATTGCTCATCAAGCTTGAGCGAACTGCGCACTTCAGTTGACGGTTGACGTTCGAAGCGGACTGCGACCCTCAAAAGAATGGCGCCGTTTCAATGGTCGCCCCCGTGATACATGGATCAGTAAAATTGATCGTGCACTAGAATGGCAGCAAGAGCAGTTTTTTTTAACACCGTCACAAGAGGTCACATGCAGTACACGAACCTAAAATAAGAATGAGCCAGGTGTGAACCTCGCATTTTATAACATAATGGTTTCGGTTACATCATAAAGGTGTTTCCACACAGCCACCCAACATTCTCCCAGGGCAGTCTATTTACCTCGAGTAAAAATGATTTGACGTCCAGACCCTTCAGCGGAAACTCCACATATGTATCGATCTTGTTCCGCATATATGCTGTCCAGTGGAATCGCTTCAAGTGCAAACACAGCACCTGTTACAAAGGAAACACCAGCATTGTCAATGTAAATATATTGTCCATTGATTTATTAATGCTACCAATTCATGAAGAATGTTTTTCGCAGCCAGCCATCTTTTTTAATATACCTAGAAAGTATTTAAATGACTCACATTCGTGTAGTGGAATTCCATTGAAAAACATTATACATGTCTGGAAAATATGCAAGGCTGACAATCTTTTGTGCCAAGGTCATCACCTTAATACAGACCGAATCCAAAGCCACAAAAACTGAAAATAAAATTGGACTTGATGGTGAATTACAAGCAGTATACAAATATGACATTTTAAAAACACAAATATACCAAGACAATTTGCAAGTAAAAAATATATTAACCTATATGCTTACGGGAACATGAATGCTTACGGGAACATGAATAGAAAGAAGTAGGTCTCTCAAAAGTAGGTGCAGCTTGAATGTTGTGAATGTGCTGCAGCTGCTGCTGAAATGCCTGCTGCAATCTGCTGCTTTGTACTGCCTATTGCTATGAACAATACTTTGCTACTGCTCCCAGCAGTATCCCGAGGCCAAAAGCTCCCAACCATGTTGAATCTATGCCTGCTGCAATCTGCTGCTTTGTACTGCCTATTGCTATAAACAATACTTTGCTACTGCTCCCGGCAGTATCCAGAGGCCAAAAGCTCCCAACCATGTTGAATCTATGCCTGCTGCAATCTGCTGCTGTGTACTGCCTATTGCTATGAACAATACTTTGCTACTGCTCCCGGCAATATCCCGAGGCAAAAAAGCTCCCAACCATGTTGAATCTATGCCTGCTGCAATCTGCTGCTTTGTACTGCCTATTGCTATGAACAATACTTTTCTACTACTCCCGGCAATATCCCGAGGCAAAAAAGCTCCCAACCATGTTGAATCTATGCAAGTTGAACTTCTTTCGCACTGTACATAGCCAACCGTGCCAATCAGAGGTGCGCGGGGGAAGGACAACAAACTGAACACAAAAATCAGTTTGAAAGAAATTATTTTTCAATCTCGATTTAAAAGTGCACAGCTCCAGTGGCTTCCGAATAATGGTCCTAATAATGTTCAGAACCAAGTGTTCATCAACACCCAATTGCATCCTTGTGCCCCCACAGTAATAGCATCAGCAGCATGCGTCTTCTTCCAACACCCAGCATGTTTCTTTTCAACTCTTCCTTCATCTGACCTAATCTCCCCTTTGCCTTTATGCACCCATCCTATTTCTATAGCCTGCTTCCAAACCCATTACCCTTGACAAAAATCTGCATCGCATTTTCATTTACACCGTTTCCATCACACTCTCCAGCACCGCATCTTGGAACACTCGACTGATGTTTTGCCAAGGTCCGTTTTTCTAAACCACGTGACAGCCCATTAACGCAGTATGTGTATTTTGCAAAGAAAACCTGCAATAAACGAGTAAATATGTTGAGATATAGGAAGCAAATAGAATGAGAACAGAATAAATGTACAATTTTAGGAAAGAAAACCCAGATTGTATAAAATCAGAGTTTATTAAATATATAGTAACTTGCCCCTATTGGACATCTGTATAAAAGAGCTTCATAGCTCATCGGATTACTCTAGTCTAAATAAAGATTCTGATTCTACTACTTATAGAAAGCATGTCAATAATACGCTTTAAAATTGCTCATTTGTTGCAAACATCTGCTTTTCTCGCACTTGACCAAGGATTGGTGTGATGTTGGTAAACTATGTTGTGCATCAAAAGGCACTCACTGCCGGTAGTTTCTGGATCCAAAACTTTTTAGTGGACTTCTGTTTCTTCTTACACATGTGGCATGTGTAGAGCTCCGAGTCATCCAGCTGCTCCAGTGCTGTGAAGCTGTGCAGGCAGTCTGCATACATGTGGGGAATCCGACATGAAAACACCACCTGTAAGCGTGCACTTGAGCATGTCCACACAATACAGCAGACCAACATGCAGGCAAAATGGGCATGTACCCACTAACACTGGCAGCCTGGTATGTTAACAATCCATCACCTGGGATGGTGCACATATCCATGCAATGATAAGCACATGCGTATGTAATAACTTACAGTCCTTCATCAATCCAGTGCTAAAGGCCTCACCGCACCATGTTATTCATGGAGGTTGTTTGACTGTTAAGTCAGTTGGGTTAGTGAAGGGGGGGCCAGAACATGATCATACGTCACTGAATCTATCCTGTATACCCATTTCTGCATATGCATGGCACACAGCAAAGATTTTCGAAGGCTTCCAATTTGTCAACCACAGATGACCCATATCACTATTCCTCCTATTCTGTTTTTGAGTGAGACAAGAATACAGCATCATGGGGCTCAGCGCCTCGTAATATTTCCCACAGTCTCGTTCACCAACACCACTCCCAGGTGTCTGTTCAGTTCGTGAGTACAAGAATCCCCTGCTAGACTTGCCACATCATGCGTTGCTTCTCATATAGCGAATATATTTCTTCTTGAGTGCAATGTTTCTCTATGCGTTCTTGTAAAAAATTGTGGGGAGTAAATGTGCAATGTGTACTTTTAACACGGGCGGAGAAAACGGACTACTTTGCGATAGAATACCATACTGTGCGAGCATAGTCTGTACCACGTGGCAGAGGGAATCTGGACTCGACAATGTGGAGGAGTTGGACGTGGTGGAGTTGCTCGAGTGCCATGGTGAGGACCTGTCAAACGAGCATCTGATGCAGCTGGAACAACGAGTCAAGGAAGAGGCCGATGATATGAAACTACCACCCCCATCGTATATGGTATTCACTGCTACAAGGAGCTTTACCAGCAGAAGGAGAAGAAACATGTTGTCTAGTTGACTTTGGAATTTTTTTCAACGTTCTGCACTCAAGCCAAAAGGTCCATAGTAGAGACCAGAAGCCAGATTCCTCTGGTGACCCTTCCTGTGCCTCCAGCTTAACCGTCAGATGAAGAGGCAGTTGATCGTACCCCTTTGTCTGCATTACTCCACCACTGCCCTCCCCCCTAGAGACCTCAATCAGTAAGCTCTTAAACCTTTACGGGTAAGTTTTATCTAGTTCATTGTATTATTAGTTAAAATGTACATTAACTTAGATCCATATGCATTTTGGAGATTTTATGACATTAAGTCATGCATTTTTTTCCAGAAATGTAGGCTAGGAACACAACCCCTAATTTTCAGATTATGTCTATATCGGAAATCATAGTTTGCTTTAAGCAATTTCGAGTTAAGTAGCATTTCCCAGGAACATATAACAGGGGGTTCCTGTATAGTGTGGGATTCCTGTACAGGACAGTCTATTCCCACTTAGTGATATAGCTGTACCCAGAGCACAAAATCAATCCTCGAGTAGTCTAGAATTACAGCTCCAGCTTCACGTATGTATGTATGTTGAACTTATTTTGCCCCGTATGTAACAAACCGTGCTAATCGGAGGTGCAGGGGAAGGACAACAAACTAAACACAAAAAGTAGTTGTAAAGAATGAGTTTCCAACGTATACGAAAGGCAGTGTTAGCACAATGTGAGGGTAGCCACATTATAGTATTTTTTCAAGGGCTCCACACTGGGTTTGGTTAGGTGTTATATTAACTGGTCTACAGCGATTAGCACAGTGCACTACGTACGGTGCAAAAGAAGTTCAACATACACACCCCCTGATCACAAACTCCCCCAATATGTATGCTCCCTGAGAGAACAGCTTACTGGTCACCATGAAACATGTGAACCTACCTACACAACCGAGTAATCAGCTGTGGCTTGTATACTTTTGAATCTATTAATATTGTTCAATAAAACTACCACAGCATTACAATTATAAAGCTACAGGAAAAATTAGATTAATTTACTCCAAACACACAGAGGCGTATATACACCCACAGCTTTGCATGTCACACACAAGCATGCATACACACTGTATAGCTACACTAACCCCCACTGACATTGAAATCTCTTTATTCCAATTGAGGTTTGTAGTGACAATTTTAGCGACCAATCTTAGTGTTAGTTGTGTGCGCTGTAACTTCATACCGGGCAAGGTGCACACCGGACCAGGTTCTTGGTTCTTGGCTTTCCTCTCCCTAAATTGGAGTGGGATGTCCAGAGATAAATCTGAATTGGTGTGAAAAATCAAGCAATGCACATTAACTTTAGATTAGCCATGCTTAATTAAGCTGTGCAGAGTTGAACATTGTCAAAGTTCAACAAAACCATAATTTAAATAAATATGCTTATCACAGAAGCCAAGCTGTTTAAATAATGTTCAGGTATTTGTTCATCTACATCTTGATTAAGGCCTCCCCATGCCTCATTAGTCATGGATTTTTCTTTACCATAATTCACCATGCTGGTCAATGTGAGTTGGCTATGAAGGGCAGCCAGGATCAATTCAAATAATCTCCCCCTCAAAACTGTTTTATAGGCTATTATTTAATGGGCCACATGAAATCCAATGCCCATGTGCACAACACTAAGCAAGCCTCAAGTATCTGAATCATTTTCCAAAATAAATATTGTACTAAACATAAAAATGCACAGCATACCCCAAGGGCACAAAAGGAAAAAAGATGCAAACACAAAAATATACATTTAAAAAAATGTAATGTTCGTGTAAATGTAAGACAAGAACAAAGATGGCGAGTATATAAGTGGGTGGTGTTTAGGTCCATTGTTGGAATGTTCTGCTAAATGGAAATGGTATGAAGAAAATGGAGCAAGTTGATGTAATAACAAAATCTTAAACTCGCCCATATTACCCATTTAACATGATTACACATTTAACATATTATTAACTAAGTTGGGAAAGGGGGGCAACAGACTAGCCCATGACTGTAAACTGGGGAATTAAAAATATGAAATAAACTATTTGTGTGTTTGGGATGTGTGTTTGAGTCCTAAAGAAATGGCAGGATTGGGAATCAGTTTGGAACAGTGTATATGGTTATAACAAGTGATCATGTTGAATTAATGGCTTTAAGTTGAGAATATCAGAAATTGGGAGGTATGAAGCCAAATTTGAGTTGAAGTTCACATGTGGCCAAGCAGGTCACCAATTATGTGAATGATTTTTTGCTGCCAATCTGGCAAGGCACGGGTTTATTATCTATCTGAAAAGAGGGATTAACCCCATAATGGACAAGAGGCCAGAAGTTCAGACTGAGTGTTCAACCATTTGACAATAATACGCTAATTTTGAGAGTAATGCCGAGGGACCATAGCACAGTTGATCTCATGAGGATCTGTAAAGAACAATAATTTGGAAGAGTCGGGTTTGGCTTGTATTTTCTGCCACTTTAGCCAAATTGTGGGGGTTTGTTTTGGGTATGAAATTTCAAATCAAGTTGAGTTTTAGACTGATGATACAGTTTATAGTTGAAAGAGGGCATATCCTTTTTGGTGTTTTGGAGCAGTCTGTGTGTTGAGCTATATCCTAGGTAATCTATGATTCCAGATAAAAGATGATGTTGCTGATTTAAATTGTTGATTTAAAACAAATTTGCACAAGGACCAACCGGACTAAACAAAGATATTTAAGGAGACTCATCATCTTTCTTATTTAAATTATTGTTGGAAGTTAAAGGTGATGGACATTCCATCCAAAGATATGTGACTTTGCGTCTTGCAAAAAGGGGAGGAAATTCACCTCAAAAGGGGATGATAGTTTGATAATTGGTTCTTTACCCTTCTATCTGGCAACAAAACTGACACCTTTTTGCAAGGAGTCATGTTTGCATAGACCGCAATACCTGCAGTCATAATACAAACAAAAGAACATAACTCTGATAATGTGCACTGTCCTTGAAGTTGGCGTCATCTGGTCCAACCCATATGAGACTAGGCTCTAAGGAAAGCTGTCTCGGGTGTGGACCAATCAACTTCAAGGACAGTGCACATTATCAGAGTTATGTTCTTTTGTTTGTATTATGACTGCAGGTATTGCGGTCTATGCAAACATGACTCCTTGCAAAAAGGTGTCAGTTTTGTTGCCAGATAGAAGGGTAAAGAACCAATTATCATATTTTTACTGGCAAATGAGGTCCCCATAGTGGGGATGATAGTTTATTGAAGTAGCTGAATCATGAAGTATATATTTGAGGTAAACACGTTTTTTTTCAAAGAAGCTATTACTATTTTGTAATCTCAGTCTATCATTTAATTTCATAAATAGTACAGTATATACACATGAAAAGCCATTTTTCATTATTCTTAACTATGCGAGGATTGTAAAAACAATACACCTCATGAGCATTAAGCCTTCAGACCCATACATTAACAGACATTCCTTCTGTTCATTGCCGACCCCCAGGTGCCGACTTAAATTTCCGTCTTGGTAACCTGCTTTCCTCCTCCATCCTGCCCCCATTCACAACGCACCCCAATCCCAAGCTACAGTACACACTAGCAACATTTCAATGTAATAGCAAAGTATGAGCATAAATTGGCCTGTGCACCGTACAAAAGTCTTTCAAAAGTCACGTGATATTTCCAGAGATGAAAGGACTGGTTCCCGCCAGCCACTGCAAGACAGCAGATAACGACGCACCCAGGAAGGGGTCAAATTTCTTTGACTCGGTGCCACAGATGAGACAGTTGACATCACTCTGCAGGATGCCCCCGAAGATGTCCGTGACCACTGTAGCAACACCATTTCGGCAGGATCGGGGTAAGCGTGCCTCGCCTGAGCAGCCCCTGCATGCATCATCACAAAACATGCACACACAAAGACACGCATAAACCCACAGAAGAGTATACATTTAGTCTCAATGCTCTTATTACCTGAATATAAACGATGTCCTAGTGTGTCTTGATAGAAGCAACAAATAAATTAATAACACATTGTAATGGTTTTGATAAAGGACAATGTGACATCACTCCACGAGGCCCACCCCCACGTGCTACGGCACTCTACATGAGGCCCAGCCCCCCTCATTAATATTCATGAGTGGGTGGATTTTTACGGGAAAGGTCGAACTGAATTAAATAATTTATTACGCAGTTGCTTCAAATATGACGTTTCTTTACAGAAAGTGACAGTAAAAAAAAAATCTATGCTGCACAGAGATGAATTTGTTGAATCAGCACTTTGATGTTGGTTGGATTTTTGCATCTTGATAAAGTTATCCATGGTGAAAAAACATGTCAATTGAAATAAAGTCCAACATGCTCCAAAGTTTGTCCTTGCGAGTGATTGCCAGTGATAGCAAATGCAGGAATGATTGGAACTGGTCTTCGTTTCAAAATAAATGGTAAATTCACATCTGGGAATGAAGACATTATCTCCACGATTGGATTCTGAATTTCAGCCACAACAAAAACCTTTCTATCAGGAAGAAAGGAAACTACGTTTAAATAAAAAAAAAAATTTCCAAACTCTAATTTTTCCTCACCTGTCGGAGTGAATAAAAAATCTAAACACTTGGTCCTCGACTTGCAAATGTGCAATTTTTATAGGAATTATTTATTATTATAAGTAGCGACTTACTGGATTCTGTATTGATGTGAATACAAAAACAACTATTTATAAACCAGGACAGGTCAGTGTTCACTAATTTTCAAAAGATTTTGCAAAAAATGTGAGCAGGTCACTTTTATCAAAATGAATTTGCACTCAGTTACAGTAACTTACTGGATTCTTTATTCATGTGAATTTCAAAAGAGTTACCATTTATTATTGATCTGAGGTTGGTGTTCACTAATTTTCACAAATTTTCACTACAAGTGCGAGCAAAAGTCATCAAAGTGAAACTGCACCGAGTTGAAATTAAAAGTGATTCTGCTTATTTCAATTTGTTTTCGATGTCCAAAAAAAGAACTATTGTCACACACAAATTAACTGAATAAATTATTTATAATTCTGTAATGCTGTGCAAAACGAAAAGATAAAATGGAAAAACCTAGCCACACTTGGCTTTTATCAAAAGCGGTGCTGGTATATTTTCGGAGAAAATGTATTATTGTTGTCACAAACTAATAATTAGTTATAATTTTAATAAGCTTTTCATTAAAAAAATATTTAAATTGCATGAAAATCCACGTATAATCCCCAGTGTTACACACACCATAAAGTGTCAGGCACTAGGCACAGATCACCAAAACGACATGTTTAGTGTTGCAATATAATAGTAGGTTTTTACCCTTTTAAACTGGTACAAAACTGACACCTTTATTCAAGGCATCATGTTTGCAATAACCACAACACAAGTAGTCAAAAAAGCAAACAAAAAGAAGCAACTCTGATAATGATAATAATATGCACTGTCCTTGAAGTTGATTGGTCCACACCCGAGACAGCTTTCTTTCTTTTTGTTTGCTTTTTTGACTACTTGTGTTGTGGTTATTGCAAACATGATGCCTTGAATAAAGGTGTCAGTTTTGTACCAGTTTAAAAGGGTAAAAACCTACTATTATATTTTGCCACTGGTAAAAGAGATGTCTCATAGTGCAAGTGTTGCAATAGTCGATAAAAAACAATCCCCGTGGGAGTATCGAGAGCGACCAACTCACATGGCGTGTGCGTCTTCTGTGACCGCCGCATCACGGCGACCAAGACAGGAGCGGCCCGCGCGATCCACGCCGCACTGCAGCTCCATGTGTAGATGGTCCAGCAGGTAGCGCATGAACTCATGGGCGTCCTGCTGTTGATAGCCCCTACGTCGTCCAGATATTAACACACACACATAGGTACGCAACGACGTTAACGCGTGGAGACGTGGTGGTGCAGTGGTCATCACACTGCACCATGAACCCGGTGGCCTACGTTCGTTTCTCGGCCATGGCTATAATCAATCTTGATTTGAAGCTTTCGTGACTGCAGGAATCCACACTCTTTGGTTCTTTCGGTAAAGTCACGCGGTTAGAAATAAATTAAAATAAAACAAATCACGACGTTTCGATTGCTTGTGTTGCAATCGAAACGTCGTGATTTGTTTTATTTTAATCAGTAGAGTAAATGTTTAACCAGTCCTGGGCATACATTTTATATGTGAATTAAAACGATAAAAAAAATGTTCCGTCAGTTTTCATCACTTTGTTATTGACTAACCAATGTATTCAGGTTTATTTTTCACGTGACATATTTGTATATTCACATTCGTACACCCACTGTGATCTTGCTTCATGCACTTGAAACAGCAAGCTGGATAATTTTATTGAGCTCAGTGACTTCTTGTATTTGATAGGTCCATAAACACGTAACTCTTTCAATATATTTCATCCATAGGCAAGGGGAACACTGCCATAATAAGAAATCCCGGAGAGTACTGCGAGCATAATACGCAATTGGTTCAAAGCATTAAAAGAAGACATCACATTTGTGAAGTTCTTGATATTCCCTTAAAATTTGATATTTATACAACATTACGAGCATCCCGCACCATCCTTTGGCCATGACCATCCGACCTTCCCTCCCAGCGAGCTAGAAAAACTTTTAATTTATATCGAGCCTCGTGTCTCTCCACCTTTCACTTGCCTTGTACTTTACATCCCAATTCATCTAGAATTCTCACTTTGTCTCCGGTTCCATCTGTTGCTCTATTCCTGTCTCCTCTTCTACGTCTCCCTCCCTCGATATTCTCTCTCCTTTCTCCGCTATCTCACCCACTTTCATGCCCCCTATCTCCCCGTTTCTTTCTCCTCTCACCCTCCTTCTTCCCACCTCGCTCTTTCCCGTCTCAATCTATCTTGCCTCTCTCTAATCCTCCCTCTCACTGCTTGTCACTTTCTCTTGCTCTTTTTCTGTTTTGTTCTCTATCCTCGGTTTCATGCTATGTCACTGTCTTCTCTCCATGTATTCCTCTCTCATATCTCACTCCCTCGCCTACCTCTCCCATCTCCCCCCTCTATTTACCTCACCTTCCTCCTCTATCACTGTCGTCGATTGTATTTGCATGGGGTAGACGGCAAGGGTGGAGGGTAGATGGGTGGAGGCGTGACATCACCGTGACACACGAACCCAGTTCAAAGCTGTGGGATGAGGGTGACGTCATCGTGCAGATGATACCGGTGGCGTCACGAGCCACGCACGCGCACTTGGGCACGCGCGAGGCAGGCAATAATCCAACCAGGAATCCAGCCAGAAAAACTTTTTTCTATTTTAGTATGATTTTAGAGGAATGGCAAAGGCTGTCACTCCTTAAGGAGGAACTGAACTAGCTCTGCCCCATACAAGAGGTATGACTTGTTTTTGTACAACAGATAGTGCTTCACTTACAAGGAGGATGCTGAGTGATGGTCAGTCACATGGTTGCTAGGATCATCCACATGAATTGGGGGGGGAACTCTTTGCACAGTTAAGGCCACGGAATCGGGGGGTTAGGAGAGAGCTGGGAGGCAAGATGGGAATCATGCGATGTGCGAGGGAACTGACATTCAGGGATGGCATGGAGCAACCAATGGGGGCAAGGGATAGGCGAGAACGAGATGGGAGGAGTGTCGGCGGATTGCAAAAAGTCAGGCAGCGACACAAAAATTGCATTCACATGACATGAATTTAATCCAAGATCATTACACTGGAGACAAATTGAGGGCATAGGCGACACCCAGTTACTGTGTTACAACTCATGTATACGTAGTATCTTTATTTGGGGTCTTTGTGAAAGTTTTTTTGCTCTCTTGGGTCACCTTGTGAGTAAAAGACTGACCTAATTGGTGCTGTAAAGCCACTGCACATGATGTTACCCCTTTGAAGTGGGATTTAATCACGACCATTGTTAAAACACCTCCTTTTCTGGCTTTGAGGGCAAATGGGTTTGCTTGCAATCATTGCTTCACCTGAAGTTTGGCATGACCTTCCAGACGACGTAGAAAAGGGAGTCGGGTGAGAACGCAGTTGGACTGCCCTGCCACAGTGAACATAGCGTCTTCCTGAATTCCTCTACCAGAGATCTGCAAAATTGATTCCAGACAGTTAAGTGCACACAAAGCATCTGCAGAGCATGCAATACAGGTCTAATATTTTTCACGTGTTTTTTTTAATCTGTATGTGAGTATTTACAATTGTTAAAGGACAATGATAAGTGTTAGAGGAACTTCGGGTAGATAACATGTGTAGATGCATGTGCCAACATTTCTACAAAAGATTTAGGTGGGTGAGAGGTAGTTTTGTAAAGTGCAGATGTTTTGAGAGGATGAGTGAGGCTAATGATGTGATCTGATTTCCAGGGGTGGAATATTTCGAGGGTGGGCAGAATGGTAGTGTACATGTTTTGGACATCTGTCCAAAAGGTGTCGTTGGATGTTTGGATGTATGGGGGTGAATCTACGGCAGAAGGGTTAGACTTATTCTTGGCTCAGTGTTGGCTGGTATGATAGATGCAGTGCAGGAGCTTGCATTAGGCAAGGCATAGGATGGTTGATTTCATATCAAGAGGACACAGAATTCTAGATGTGACTATTATTGTTCAGAGATACTAGTGGAGGTGATCTTATTTCAAATTGTGGGGGTATGTGGGCCTGGTGAGGGTTGTGGAATATCATTGAGGTGCTGACGAGTTGACGATTGAAATTCTATCTTGGGACAAGGGTTACCTTCACCAGAATGTGATAGGAGGTATGGGGCATCAATAAGATTGAAAAGCTAAGGATGATTTCTCATTTATAAGATGGATATAGGCATTGCGAATGTCCAGGTAGATACTGTTAATATGAGGTCATCAGTAGTGTTAATGCTGGCTTTCTTTCAGGAATGCCATCTACCGAGGGGGAGATTGAGTCACGTAAAGTGGAGAGATCAATGCCATTGGATATTAACCAGGGTCTGTATGCTGCAGAAAATATATCAAGTGTATGTATGCAAGTGTAGTAGTGAGCTTCAGGGAGTCATTTTCACGGGAGCATCTGAGGTCTTGGAGAGACCATGGCTTATCAAGTTTCCCATTGTTTCCAGGTGGGAATTTGGGTACAATTTAACCATGAGCATGCAGACCGAGTGCTGAGAAAGTTTATATTTTACAGAATGCATTGGTTTTAATGCACGGTTAAACAATTATCTGCAACTAACATATCTCATAAACATAGTTTTCTTGAAATTAAAAGTTAAGACCTCACATGATGGGTGACATTGTGAGGTGGCGTCACATGTGACATCACTGTAAAAATGAGGTGAGCATATGACACATGATGTCGCCTTGGCCCTCAAGGATAATCCTTCGAGCATTGGTTTTTAATGCTAAGTTTGAGGAAATCCCTTGATCAATTTGTCCAATTTATACAACGCAAATCCTCATAGCATCACAACTCTAAACTAAAATTTAGTTAATATTATATCATACTAATAGTTATTAGAACCCCCCTTTACAGATGGACCGGCATGCTTCTACGAATTACTGTTCTTGAGCGCAACGATATCATTTCCTGGGAAAAGGCAATTTTGGGAAGGTTTTGGGTGTGCAGATATGAAACTTACGTATTCATGAAGCAAAAATATATAAAAGCAGGAATTAAAGCAAGCCTTCCCTTGTGTCAATGTGTGGCTTGTTTTCAGGATATGTCACAACTATTGACTCAAAAAAGTACTAGTTATACCAAACGATGTAATAACATGCGTTTTTGCGATGGAAATCATCGCGTGCAAATACTCCATGATAAACACAACCACAAGCACTCACATGTTGCAGTCAATACCCTGGCTCCGCGTGTGGTACATTCTCCTGCCCGCCGTCTTGCCACTTCGCAACTCCACGGCTGGCAACTCTTTGAAGAAGCAGCAGAACTGCTGGATGTTACTGTGGGGCACAGTTTATTAAAAGGGGCTACAAGATATTGAGGGTGCGAAGCCAAATTTATGAGATGCGAATGCATAGTGTTGCAATGTTGTAATGGGTAGTGTCACAATGTATCAACATATGTCTGACATATTAAAGGCATGGATATAATAACAAAAAAATAAGTAAAGGCCTTGGACATGGGATCATGTACAGGGGCCTGAGTACAGAAAATGTTATTCCAATCCGGCAGGCAGCGATTTTAGTAAAATCCAACATTTTGTTAACAAAATGTAAACGTATGCAAAGGAAAAAAGTTGTTCCAGTCACTGTAAATCTAGGGGCATGGTAGTGGTTTCTAGAGATTACTTCATACAGGTAGGAACGATAGTTCCACACTGCCCACCAGGGATTATTTGTCTGTCTGTCGTGCATAGCCACGCCCTCGATTTGTATTTCATAGAGCGCTTCGGGCGGGCTCAGCACCACGTGACACGCCGCGTGACACGGATCGCACAAATGCGCTGTCCAACCAAGTTCCTACCTGCCCACTCCGAAAGAACGTGTTTATTCCCACTGCACCAGTAAATCAGCTGTCAGGAAGACAACCCTATGCAACATGGTTGCCATAAAGTCACGCGTGAAAAATGGCTGGCGTGACGCCATTGCTGTGCACACTCCAGCCCAGCTGAAGAAGAATATTTAAGTTTATTAAATTCGTTATTAATGTTATACATATAAATCTTCTTCATATAAATGTTGCCTATTATGTTGTTTTATTAATTATCAGTTTATTTTTACTTTTAAATGAATATGAGCGTTCCTGACCACCCCGAAGTTGTCTCTTAACCTTACGAGCCTTTAATGTCTAAATCGCCTATGGAATTGGAGTTATGGCAATGCTCAGCTTAAGACATTTCGAGAATTGCACAAGTTGTGTAATCAGGCTCTAAGACTTTTTAAGAATGGTGGGAATTGAGTTTGAGCGGAAAAAAACAAGTTGAAAAGTCCACATTAGATGAACACAGAGAATTTCCATTGCTTGTGTTGCAATTTCAGATGGAAAGTTAACGTCAGCATGGAATATTGTGGTATTCAGCATTAATCCTGGCTGCCTTCGTTTTCCCAGGACTGATGTTGAACACCCCCCCCCCCCCCACTGCACCACATATTCATGTTAGACTAAACTTCCCAACCGTGGTACCTGAGTGACTGCAGGATGGCGTTCATAAAGCACGTGTTTCCCAGGTTCCGCAGTCCTGTTGCAGAGAGGCTTCCCACCACCAGGCTGCCCTAAGCCAGGCAGCAGGGACAACGCACGAGTCAGTATAGCAGTCCCCTGCCAACCGCGAGCTTGCCAACCGAACCGCGAAATGCATGTACACACGGTTTATTTCTAGATTTGAAGCTTTCGTGACTGCAAGGATTCATACTCTTAGGTTGTTTTCGGTAAAGTCACGTAGGTAAAAAAAAAATAAATTTGAAATAAAATAATAAATGATTGATTTTCATTTATTATTCTTTTATTTCTATAATGTTTTACCTACGTGACTTTACCGAAAAGAACCTAAGAGCATGAACACTGATTACCTGTAAACTGATTTACCACACGCAGCCTGTAAATTCTGAGTATCCACGGGTAAGCATGGGCACGCAACACGCATTTACACATTCCGTGCAATGTATTACCAGGCAAGGTGCAGCTCATGAAACTGAATGAATGACTTTTATATATACACATAACTTATAAAACTCGCACATCATCTTCAAATATTTACTTGTAAGTTTTATGTTCAAATTAGCTTATACTTTATTGCACTCATAATATACTGTACTGTATTACTGTTGATTTTACAGTGCTCAAATACATACAGTCTATGGAATGTATATGCATGGAACAATTCACCTCACCCTGTGATTTAAATAACAGTCATGATTCTTGTTGAATTCGGGATGATAATTGAACGTAAAAAAAAAATTCACCCAAATTCTGTACCAATTGTGCTATTGGCATGATGTCAAAAGGAGGGTTTATTCATTCATAACTGTGGCAGAATGCAGTTCACCACACACCTTTATACAACAGCCTCTGGAAGTAATGTCACATAACTACTTTTGAGATCCCTCCAACGATATGTATCCACACTAGAGATGCTGCACTGTGCCATGCACTCCTCGATACAGATGTCTGTTGTATAGTCACACCGAGATGTAAAAACAGTCTTAGCATTCTAATTTACCAAATTCATTTAGGTTGCAGTCATTGCTGATCAGGCTGAGATTGTTGTGCTTTTCCTGGATAAATAAGTACATATCACGAAATTTGAGAACACTGATAATCACAAACGGCTGCCTGGATTTAAATCTAAATCTCAACTCAAAAATCTATTATTTTCTGTATATTCGTTTACATGGAACTTTGCGTATGTTTTACAAATTAGACAGATTGTTCAATCAATAACTCTTGAGGGGCAGAGCAAGATCTCTATTTTCCTCATATGCCAGCCTGAACAGGCGAGCCTTGAGCTACCGGTTGAACTTCGATGGTGCTTGGATGCTGCTGGATGATGAATTGTCCCCACATGTATCCCAATCACTTCCGATATGTACTAATGTCCAACTCGTCTATCATAAAACCTCAGTGTGCCGGAATTCACATTTAGCCAAACCAATGCCAGTGAATAAAACACATCTTTAACATATTTGGCATGCAGAAATACGGTATATATATAAAAAAATGTACAGGCCATTTACTGTCATTTAGAATGTTATATAACATAATAGTAAAATATAAAATTACTGAGCTTTAAATGTTCCTACAGCAAGCAATATGTTAATGGTACCGGGGGGGATAGTGGGGGATGGTGGGGAGCAGTGGGCAGTGGTTGGAGGGTTGGTTGGGACCAATGCATCTTTGACCGATGGAAATAATTACAGCACTTTGTGGCACAGCACACACGTACCAAATGTTGTATTGTTCGCCCAGTACACTAACACACACATATGCACAACACACACTAATGTACCATACACTGTACAGTAAATATGGTTGCTGCTGTTGTGTTTTACAATGATTTTAGTTGAAATCACGACAAAACAGACCTTTCAGCTAACCAGGGTTTTACTGTATTATCAAAATCCATCCCCTCAACATGAGTAATGGTGGCTCAGAGCTAACATTTAACACACCATTTAGATTCTAAAGGTTCAATGTTATATCTGGAGGCTTATTGCTTAAAACCTAAGCTGCTTTGCTGTATTCCTCAAATGTTTAACATCCAACATTTAAAACATAACTTTTGTTGCTTCCGATTTGTAACACAGTTGCACAATACCAATCCATTACTCATACGTTACCAATGTATATGTATAATAACGCTAATGATTATTTAGTATCATAGAGTAGTTGCGAGAAAGCCTAATACCTCTCATCTGGTGCCCTAGTCCAGAACCAAGTAGGAGATTTGGCAAGGCAAGGTAAATAAGATGAAAATTAATCGAGTAAAATTAAGAAAATGTGATAAAGTATCTAAGATAAATTACCCTCATATTACTCTAGTTGTCTCATCAATGATATCCCAGTACCATACACATAAAAATATGTCATCCATGTTAAACCAGCTGCCATGGCAACCACATGAGCCAATCAAAACACGTGTTGCTCATTCAACCAAATACATTTCCCATTGTGTTAAAAATAAATAAATAAAATACTGATGTAATGGATCCCGAGAGGCAAGCTCTATTAGCAAATAAATATATAAATACACGCTCACCATGTCTTGTGAGTTCGTACAACACGTTCAACTCTAATTGAGGAACTGTCACAGGGGGAGCCGACATAGGGCACACGATCCGGTTTGAAGGTGGAGAAAATTCAAAACAGATTGGTCATCATGGAAAACTAAATGGAAATGAGCGGTCAGTTGGGAGACCCGTTTGGAGAAATTAAGGGGATTGGTGGCGTCATGGAAAGTTCGGAGAAGAGAATGATGCGTGACGTGCTGTGAGGAAGCCGTAATAAAGTTGAAGTTCACCACTCACCTGGGCCGGAACTCTTTTACACTAATAATGTGCCATTCTTGTCTTGGTATTAAAATGTGTAATAAGAAAATAATTGTTCTTTTACAAACAGACCAAATGTCATTGTAGTCGATGCTTTCAGTCACAGAAATGATAAATTAGTGCAAAACATAAGCCCAGTTGCCAACTGCAAGCACACACGTTACAACTTTTAAGAGTCTAAGTTGCACACATGTCCACATTAGCTTTAGCTTACATTGAGTTTCATGTGCTTCTTTGACGGAGATCCTGCATCAGTGCACTTCCGTTTGCCATTCCTGTCATTCAACAGCCTCTCTGAACTGCAGACAGAAAAAGAGTAGTATTATTTATCAAAGTTATGGAATTTCAGAATTAAAAATACTACTTATCAATGTAGTGCCTTATATACAGTGCCTTTCACCATGATAAATTAGTTTTTTTCATCACTGCCCGGGGGCTGAATGCTGCACCGACCACCTTTCTGGGCGTCAGGTGTCGAGCCGGAGGGTGACCTCGCGCAGGGCCTAGTGACCCAGCCACAGCAAGGCCAGGCGACAAACCAGCAAGGATGGATGTGGACTGGGTGCCCCGACCTCAAACCGATAAAACGCCTGACATGGGGGTCAAGGCGCTTGAGCTCCTGGCCAAATTGGCAGCGTCTGAGGGTGGATTTAGAGATAGTAAAGAGAAAGACACTGAAACTTGTCCTCCCTCACTTTAACTTTTTAGCTCATGGTGGCAGTAGCCTTTGCTGCACCCACTCACTCAGTGCAGAGACGAAAGTGGGTGAGGAGTTCTGGGTAGAGGGGGTAGGTAAGTAAGGAAGCAGGGGTGGGGGTTCACCCCCCGAGAGCCTTCTTTGCGCACATTCCGTGGCACTGTGGGTTATGCAAAATGTATATTATAAGAAGACTGGTGGACGGAATAATTGCAATGGAAAAATGAATGACGCTCACTTAACATTCGTCCGATATCTTAGCGAAAAAAAAATGTCGAATGCAGTGTGGTGGTGATTGCGGTGACATTTACAAATCTAGGATTAAAAATGTATTTTGCAAACAAATGTGATCAGACCTATTTATCATTTATACAAAGGGGTAACCCACAACGAGTGCACTGTCAGTGCTATGTGGACTTGGGGAATCTCTTGATTAAATCTGTGGCTTCCACGATAATGTTGTTGTCCATGAAAGGGTAAACTTGAGACATGAGTTGTGCACAGGCGTCAGTGGCAAATCACTTCTCAAGGCTCTGCAGGTGCTCGCGGAGCCGTTGGACCGAGCCCAGCTTGTTGTCGTTCACCACAAAGTCATCACATCTGTAACTACAAGACACACATAAACACACGCATAAATGTACAGAGGAATGCACTTATGCACAAACAAACTAAATGGGTACATTACACATGCCAGGACACAAATTACAAAAACACAAGTAGTATGATTACACTGCTATTATTGAGAATATAAAACTGACAGCATGCCACAACATCTGTATCAACACTTTGCAGTGCAATGCAGGCACTTAAAGCATGGATGTTGAACTTCTTTCGCACCATACGTAGCCAACTGTGCTAATCGGAGCACGATTAACAACTCATCCTGCAGCGTCGTCGTATCATTACTTTGCGTAATTTTAAGTTATACTCTACATATCAAACACCACTAATTTGTTGGCAAGTAAGCCATCCAGAAAAGATATACGGAACATGTGTACTGTGTGAATACACGTGTCATCTTTACCCTGCGCATGTTTACCTAGTTAAAAATTAACAAGTCACCTGCTTAAACTTTATTTCACCTGTTCTTGCGCCAGTTATAGGCACTCCGATAACTATCTGTACGGTCACATATACTTGACTTCTCCCCGCTCTTATCTATTCTGCACCTCACTTATCCTGCACTCAGCAACTCTCTCAGCGAATCCGCACACAGCAGCTCCACACTTAGCGACTTCGCACTCAGAAACTTCGCACTCAGCAACTCTGCATCTCCACCGCTGCCCTCACACCTACGCTCCCTCAGACCCGCTCACCCGTCTGTCCCGGGCGGCAGGGCTCAGCCAACACCCGCCGCCGACGGTGTGAGGGTTGAGGTCCCGTTGACGGCTGGAGCGGCAGCGGCGAGATGCCTTCACTCTTGGTTCCCCGGCAACAATCCCCTTCCGCTTACGCACACTCCCCTTACATATCCCCCCTCATTCCGAGTCCTCACGTGCTCCCTCAAGCTGCCACCAGTTGTCCCATTAATCCCTTATCATCACCCCCCATCTCCCGTCTCTTCGACACCAACCTCCGGTCACAGCGCACCCGCTTATGCCCTTAATTACTGGCGGTTTTTCAGTGGAAACCTCATGTTGCACCGCACAAACCTGTTCGACCTCAGTTGCACCCGCTTAACAGCGCGCACCGCGTATATCTCTCCTCTACACATGTTTTAGCAGGTGTCTGCATATTTAACTTCTGATGGTGCTTGTTGTTTTCTCATGAATTCTGTATACTATGAAATATCATTTGGCTATGACAAATAATTTTTGCAAATCTGAAAATAATGATGTGTGTATTGTGAACCAAACAGATTTTCTAAAAAAATTGCCAATAAATAAGTTAAATAGTTTAACAAGCTAAACTTTAAACCATTTTTAAAATCTATTTAAGATACCTCTACAGCCATTTGTCAAGGAGATGTATAGGTCTATAAATATGCAGAAAGCTACATATTAATAATAAGGCTGTAGTTCAAGGGGAGTGGAGTGATAGCGCAGTGGTTAGGATTGTGTGCTACGAACCCAAGTTCGATTCTGTACCATGGCTATAATCAGTCGTGAGTGAACCATCCCTAGGCTCCCCACCATCTGCCTCTCTACATGCCATGTCCTTTCTCGAAGACGTTGGTGATCATGGCCTTCTATTTAGCACTATACATCAACCTGCAATGACCATCATGGTGAAGTGTGATCAAACAGCCCTCATGACCAATACAGCATGGGGAGCCCTTTATTCAGTTGTGGATTGAAAAAAAGGACAAATTATTAAACAAATAACTCACAAATTCTAGATTAGAAGTTTTCGTGACTGCAAGGATCCATACTCTGTTTTTTTCGGTAAAGTCACGTAGATGAAAAAAAAACTAAATTAAATCACGACGTTTCGGGCGCAACACAAGCGTCTGTCATCAGGTGGGGACAACCAACAGCGAAAACAGTAGCCGAGGTATCCCGAAGAGATGGCTCTAACAAGGGTTTACATAGCCGAGGAGGGTGGGGGGATGATACTGCTTTGGCAGTGGTGCAGCAGCAAAAATAACAAAATACTCACGTTAGTCAATAACACCATCTTTAAAGTAAATATATATTACGTAGATTGTTTGGTTTCCTTTTAAGGCAGTGTTATTGATTAATGTTTTTTTTATTTATGAGGAATCTGAATACAAAGGACATTGCTACCATAATAAATTCATGTAATCTTCCTATTTTCCAAACATGAAAAATAACAGAGCTGGGCTACTGATTAAATATGTAATACATTACTCCCGATTCTCAGTTTGACTACTTGGCTTATCAGATAAATTTAAAATATTTGGGGGTAAAGGTGATGGGAAGGACTTTGAATACACCATGGCGTGGTTTGTATTGTCGGAGTTGCCAACATTTTTAAATTGGCCAGGTAATCGACCACAAAAAGTAGTCGATTATAATATGTAGTTGATTATTCGACTTAATCGACAAAGAATCTCAGCTTTTAAAAAAACCCTGCAGAAATCACAGTGAATGTTGGAAACTTGTCTGGGTATGTAAACTTGTGTGGACATTTTTCGATTTAAAGCTTTCGTGACTGCAGGGATTCATCTTCTTGGTTCTTTCGGTAAAGTCACGTAGAAGGGAAGTAATAAAATAATAAAAATAAAACATAATAAAATAATTCTCACGACGTTTCGTCTACAATGCAAGCAGCCGTCTTCAGGTGAAGAATGAAACACTGCCAAGCTTGGAGCGTATATATAAGCTGGGAAATTACTTCCTGATTGAAAACACGACGCCGTCTTGCGCTTGAAAGACTGTTGCTTACGGGAAGTATTTTATTTAGAACTGTTTCTGTGCAAGACAAATCGTTTCACAGGAAAACATTACTGCTGTTTATATGTGCACACAGTGTACGCAGCTCCAACTGCAGTAGAAGGGGTTTTGTTGTATGACAAAAAAAAACATTTTATTTAAACTAGCTGGTCTTTCAAAATCATGAGCACTGCATAGGCTGAAATCATATCATTCCAAAAAAGGTCACAGCACAAATGAATACATAACTATAAGTAAAGACTTTACCAAAAGAACCAAGAATATGAATCCCTGCAGTCACGAAAGCTTTAAATCAGCTTTACATTGCCTTAAATTCTGGGCAATGCAGTTGATACCCTGGCATATACCTGTAATCCAACAATTTGGAAGCTAGGTTGGTTATTTCTGTAAAATAAGTTTGACCCCCCCCCACCCAACTGCAAGTTAGTGAGGTGGCTGCAAAAACGTGAGGCATTGTTGCTCAAGTAGTCGTTATATTGCAAATGTGATATATGGACACAGTGTGTTTGTCAGACATGCAAGGCTGTGAATGTTTGGTTTTACAGTCTATATGCTTATCAACCAAGTACCCAAACTGTGTTTTTTAGGGAACAGCACCAAGATAAGGCAGCTTAGGCTAAGTGGAAGGACTTATACGGCACAGGAAGACCTGGGAGCAAGAGTGAGCATCGATAATTGTGTAGTTGACACAAGCAATAACTGGGTGATTAAAAATATATTTTAAAGCCAAACGGAAGTTGAGGTCAGATACTGGCTAATTCTGTCTCCCAGCTCAAAAGAGTGGCTCTGCCCTGTTACCCGACCTTTTGCTTCTCTATGAAGACTCAAAGCAATCAACGCTGGTACCGATGCAACAGTGATGATACTACCAATGAGTAATATACAATATAAGGAGTTACAGCCCTTGGTCAATCCAATGCTGGATGAAGGCATCCATACTTCACCACACTAGGTCAGTGTGGGTTGGTGAAGAAGGATAGGATCAGCAGACCATGCTTTCCCACCTGATGACAGACGCTTGTGTTGCGCCCGAAACGTCGTGATTTATTTTATTTTCAACCTACGTGACTTTACCGAAAGAACCAGAGAGTATATGGAAGGTTATCATTGCATAGTATGTATTAAATATGTCAAGTGACCTCTATGCAGGGCATGTCCAAGCTACAAAAGTTCGACGTATAATCTGACCTGTGTATCCAACTTGTGTGCATGCCAGCAAGGCAAACCACAAATACTCATGGAAATACACCAGTATGCTCTTCTGATTCCAAAAAACACAGGATGAGATGGTACTATCCTTTGTGCAAGCACTTCCAAGAGTTCATGAACAGTGAGCCTGGTGAAATTTGGGGAGCGCATCGTCAGTAGTGAACCTTTGGTTCCTAGGGTGTTTCGGCCTTTCATACTATACACCCTCCCCAAAGGCGGCCAGCGACAGGGTGATCAATCCTACGCTTGCGTCCCATTCACAATTAGTCATAGGAGTTGCCTTGAATACACCAGTATGCTCTTCTGGAATGTATTTTGAGCAGTGTGTGTTTAAATCCCAAACACTTCACACCTTACATATGCAGTCTACGTAAAATACTTTACAAGCATTTCAGGTAGTGCCCTGTACACAACATGTGTCAAATTCAAAGCTTTCAGAGCACTGTCTATGGAGTGTGCACAGAGTAGATGTGTGTGTGTGTGGAGTAGCCCATACTCAGTCATCACCAAATGCCCTGTATACAGTGTCTGCTGAGCCCATACACAATGTGTGCCGAGTGTCCCGTATGCATTGTGCCGTAATTCCCCAATTAGAGTGTTGGTCAAGCACCTCGTGTTCAGCGAGCACCCGAGTGTCCCATATGCAGCAAGTGCCGAATGACCCGTGCAGACGGTGCGTGCTCTGTGGATCCGCTACCAAAAAGCGCTGTAACTGTTGCAGTCCATGCAGACAGCATGCGGCTCCGTCTCCTTGTCTCCTTTGCGAGCGTCCCGGCTGCCTGCGTGCGCCTCCTCATAGTGCCGCTTGGCATGTCCGTTGACATACCTGGGGTGGGAACCGACATGAGTCAACAGTGTACAGTTACCAGTCAAACCAACAGTGAGTGATGATTTCACAAAAGGCTCAATGCACATTTGTACCGGACCAAACAGCTGCATTTACATGCAAATCACACAAAAGCATTACCACCCATGGTTGCTGATGGTATCTCCATCTGTCTACTCCTTTAAGATGTAGGCTAAATTACCACGTCACTGACAAGCAAAAATAATCAACGTAGGTCTAAAACTAGTTTTAATGGGTAAACCAAAATGAAGCCAAAATAAACAATTTCAACTGATTAGTTTACAAACACAAATCATAACTTAATTAACAAGACCTACAATATTGTAACTCCGATGGTGAGGTTCACAGACATAATAAATGAATTACTTATTTATCCATAAAAGACACAATGAGTCGTAGGACTCTTTTTCTGGAAGGTCCTGCATTTGGTTTTTATTTTACGATGTTTTCAGTCAATTGGTTACAAGTGGGAGGAAACCAAAGCACTCGGAAAAGCACCCACATGCGCGAGGACACAACACGATCCCCGCACAGATGAAAACAGATGGCCATTAATCCACTTGCTGTACTGCCTTCTCCTTTTCTGCCATCCACCAAACCAAGCCTCCACAGTGATGGAGTACAGGCATGCACCGCCACCGCCCAAACATTTGTGACGTTCTGAAAAGAGGGACCCCCCGCCCCCAGCCCCAAAGAGCAACATGGGGCAAAAGAGAGGCGACCATGCTGATGCTCTGGGGCCTTTTGCCTCATTTCCACATCTACTCGGGTTCTGTTTGGCCTGGGATGACCATGGAAGAGCACCGCACAGAACCTGTTGCTCCCCATACTCAACAGCAATGAAGCATCGCGGGCTCTGACATTCCTACCCTGTCCATACCCCATTTTTAGTACCCTCTGCAGCAAGGGGGTGGTAATTTTGAAGTGATCTCACTAAGAAAATATTTATGATGAAGTTTAGTGCAGTATACATGGTTTAGCTTAGGCAAATGGAAGTAGAAAAAAATGTTTTTTGTACCGTCAGTGTGCATGCATGGATTCCACACTCACTTCATGACATCCCAACTGGCTCGAGGTAAAAACTGGTAACCATGCTCCCAGAACAGGCTGCCGTGGAGACGATCTCTGGCTCAGCCTGTTTCCACCCTGGTTCTGGCTGTCTCCATGGCTAGTAGGCTTTGATTGGTAGTTATTCATGCCTTTCAGGACCTAGGACTTAATTATACATTTTAAAAAATGGTTGTATATATGTAGTTAAACAACATTGTTTACATTTTCTTGGTTTTTTCGGTAAAGTCACGTAGTAGAAGAAAAATAATAAAACAATAAAAATAAAACGATAAAATTATCACGACGTTTCGATTGCAACACAAGCAATCATCATCATCAGGTGTGAAAACCACTGCAAGAATTTTTTTGAAAAAAGTGGCGGTTTTTTCACACCTTTACCGAAAGAACCAAGAATATTAATCCCTGCAGTCACGAACGCTTTAAATCGAAATTGTTTTCATTGTTCTAAATTCTCATTTTGATTCCAATCTCATTTCCAGGATACAATGACATTTTCCAGGAAGCCTTGTAGTTGTGGAGTTAATCAAGAGATATGTATCAAATACTGAACAAACACACTTCATGGATAACATACAGAAATATATAATTAGATCAATTAACAGTAACCAAATAAACTACATTTTTCATCTACTTCACATCAATATCATTAAATAAGTGGTTTAAAACCGTTACACATTTTAAACATTAATGTTATCTTAAAAAAAAACACATGCTTTATATAACATTTCTACATGTGCTGAATACACGTAAAAAAATGTTAATTGGCGATGTTTCAACACATGCAAACAATTTGTGCAACATTTGACCAGCCTCTCGAAAAATGTGTTCAATAACAGAAATGTGAAACGCTTAAGATATGCAAAATGCACAAATAAAAAAAAAGACATCAGTGGAGGGCAACAAAAACCATTCCTGGACAAAATCCATGAACACTAGGTGGTGCTTGTGCATGCATTTCAAATCTTAATGTTATGGACTTAATCCGGTGTTAGCTGTGGGCATAGATGCACAATAATAATAACGAATAAGAGATTCACATTCTCATCACATATGTATTTTAAATAGAGTTCATGTTATGTATCCATTATATGAACCATGCAATTCTATATCACAGAATAAATTACCAGAGAAAATGTCATGAGGAGCTATACACACTGGAATCCTTACTTATCTGTATGCAGCAACGATAGGTCCAATGATTCTCCATAAATCAGAGCTACAGGGAAGGTTAAAGTAGGTTGCTGTATGGAAGGTCAAACAGGCCCGAGATGAATTCACATTTGAATGTGTCCCTAAAGTATGATGTCTTATTCTTAGGTTTTTTCGGTAAAGTCACGTGACTTTACCGAAAAAACCTAAGAATATGAATCCTTGCAGTCATGAAAGCTTCAAATCTATAATTATATTTCGATGTGCCTACAGGGAATGTCGGGGGTGCGGTGATGCAGTGGGTAGCACACTTTTCGAAGGACTGGTGAAAGGAGTACAATTGCCCGCCACGGCTAACATCAGTGGCGAGTGATGTCCTGAACCAATCCTGGGCTCTCCTTCACGAGTTGGCACTGACCAGCATCGTGCAGTCTAGGCAAAATAACCCCCAGGGCCGATTCGGCATGGGAAGCCCTTCATCCAGCAGTAGCTAAAGGTTTGTAGATAATGTTTGTTATAATAACAGTTAATGCAAACACAACTACCTAAATAAAATATACTAGTCATACACATGTAGGACACACAATTACAATATGAAAAACATAATAAATAGAGAACCCTTTGTAAATCCTCTGTTGGACGAAGCCCTATGCACTTCTTGTCAATAATGGGGGTTGTTTGACCATACTTCATTCAGTGCAGGTTGGTGAAGAGCTGAGGGCCTCTATCTCATCACTTAAAATGGATGTTAACCATGGATGGAACTCATGTTAACCATGGATGGAACTCATAACTCAAGACCGCTTGTGTTGCAGTCGAAACGTCGTGGGTTTTTGCTTTTAATTTCGATTTTTGTTTTCTATCTACATGACTTTACCGAAAGAACCAATATATATTTCTGGTACGAGCTGGGGCCTCAGTGCTTCGAAGATCAGCCACTGCCCAAGCATACTCAAACTGCAGAAAATTGCGCCCCAGAGTGGTCAGAAAACCGCCATTATTGACTCATTAACACCCAATTGAACATACGGATGCAGAATAATATCACAAGAACTTTAAAATCTATGCCACTGCCTTGGTTTCCTATACTGTCAAATATCACACTACCAGATATTCACCACGATGCTGCAACACTCTGTACACTGCATCGATCAGAAGCAGATGCAATCCTGCCAATCAACGATGATCTGAACAACATCCTGCATCCATGACAGAGATTCAGAAAGCTGTTTTGGAAACATATCGAAAGTGCATCAAACAATTTGTGGGATTCAAGCGACATGCCGAACAAAAACGGAGTCAGCAAGCCCACTACCACACTTCTTGCCATGGGCAGTGGTTAACTGGTTTTGCACAAACCATGGAAAATGCAGATACCAAATGCACAAGTGGAAAATAAAGGCTGCCCTATGTGTGTCTGTGGCTACAAACACCAAACCAGGGCCCATATAACTTCGCACTGTGAAGGCGATGTGTGTCTGCAATTCACCAACTCTCAGACAAAAAAATTGAATGGCTAAATCACTCAGAACTGCATCTCAAATATTTGCTCTTCATTGACTAGATGAAATCATCGACCTTACTGCTTTTGAAGAACCGTTGCCCAATATGTTGGCCTATTAGACACATGTATTATATTATAAAACGTTATACTGTACATAAAGGCCTGGTTTAATTTCAAGCAGTATTAAAATATCCTGCAAAATGGAGTTTTGAAGATGATTCGTTTATTTTAGTCAATGCATGCAAGAACTTTATCTCTTGATTTGCAAAATCATCAACAGCAATTCTGTTTATACATTTACACTTGCTTCCACTGCTGTCAATGATGTCCAGATTGGTTTCAGTTTTTTTTTATCTTTGTTATGTTAGGCATGGTCCCACTTATCTTAGTTCAGCATATATATTTTTCCACAAGCTGGTCAGTTGCATCCAAAAATAACTCAAAAAGGCATCAAAAATATTTATGGATAAACATTCAATATTTTCTCCAGCCCGTTTCATTACAAGTATTAGCTTGATGTGAAATTTTATATTATTGTGATTATTATTTTGGAAAACTGCTTTTGGATTAAATTTCTAGTTTCACGACATTGTTATTCAAAACAATATTCATTCTTGAAATTAATCCATTTAAATGTATTAATAAATCATATACGTTTTATTAACCGGTTGCACAATGTTACAGAAATCTGGATAAATATTGGATAAAATCAGTCGAGTACATTTTCTATTCTCGCCATTCTGATAACATAAGGCTACCATCAAGGCGCTATGTTTTACAGGTGTATAGTCTGCAGTAGTTTCTCAGTACGGGCTATTTTGCTTTGTGGTTTTACCCAATTAGGTGATATTAGTAATTCGAAAAATGTGACAAATTTAGACCATGACACCAGCATACATACGGCCGACTCTTTTTTAGAATAAGGTCAAGGGCTGTTTGACATGCACGGTGAAGTAGACAGCGTCTATATTTTTAGTTAATTACACCCGCAATATTAACCAGAGCTGCTGCTGGGCTTGACTGTGAATTTCTGCAATGAGCAGTAAAAGCAGCACCGCTCAGTCCTGTCACAACCCCAACAATGATGATTGGTCCTGTTAATAATGATGATATGAGTGCAAATGAACAATGCAGGAAAAAAAGCATGACTTAATGTTTTGGTCAAAAGACATTTTCTCCTATTTGGCAAAAAATGGGCAAAACAGGCCGTTCTTACTTTTTTTTTATATGGTAGAAATGTGAGACTCCCCACTTTGTAGTCTGCAAGGGAGTGGCTCAGATTTGTATCTGGTTCGAGTGAATCAGAAGTGATTTTGGTCTGATTCTACATTCAGCCTTGGGGCGAGACACATAAAATATAACATTAAATGGAGAAGATTCTTTATTTTCTTCCCAGAAAAATGTGAAAGCGCCTCGTTGCTTAAAACGTACAATTTTATAGTTCTCATGTATATTGATTGGTTGCCCCAAGTTATGAACGTTACACATTCAAAGACCACTGCTTATTTTTCACAAAACTGTATTAAGTTGTCAACCAGATGGATGGCCGGTTGAGTCTACTCCCAACTAGGATTTGAAGGTACAACCTCTCAACTGCGAGTTATGCACTAACCACCATTCCACCAGTAGAAACTAAATAGCTGGAGAGGCAGAAAAAATGCATGTGGTGAAAAGGTGGCAATTGACATCATGAATAAACACATCAGCAGCATTGTGCCATAAAATGTAAAAATACCTCACATAAGACTACAGTAGCACACAGTTGAGTATTATTCAGTTTCATTCAATAATTGACATTACATCCCTGTGCAGATTTCCCTTACAACTGCAGTGTGCCGACGGGCTGCTGTATTACTCTTCAACATACAGGCACTGTTAACAATATCACACAGGATTGAGCTGCAAAGCCAAAGGCTCCTTATAAATATGTAACGAAATTCCCGACAATTTGTCTGTAATTACCAGCCATGATCTAGTGACTGATGGATGAAGATCTTCCCAAATCACTGCCATCCCTCATGGCCACACAATACAATGATCCATCTGGTTACTGCTGATGTACATTTTGTTAGATCCATCTTAATACTGCCGATGTCTGATTGGTGTATGAAAATTTACTTTTCGTCCATTTTTATTCCTCTCACAAGAATGTGCTTATATCTCCCATTACCAATGAGGCAAATAGACTAAGCAAGATTTGTCAACATAAGAACCAGATCCTAAATGGACTCTTGATATCTTTCGTAACCATGGCATCTAAATGAGTTCAATAACTTTCACACAAAATGTTTTTTTTCCCCGACATGGAGTCCCTTTATGCGGTAATGGATGGCAAAGCACTGTAAATAACAAGTATTCATCTTATCCGCAGTTCATATGTTTAATGTCAACGAGGCCTCGGCTTTATCTAGCATTGGATTGTGTTCATATATAACAACAGAAACAAACACTTTGCGAAGACCCATACACCATTACTCAGCAGGCAAGGAGGAACATAAGCTCAGATGTAAATCAAGATTATTTTCCTGTATCTAGTCTATTGTTATAAACATATATTACTGGTAGGAACCTCCTGCTTACACCAGCCCACAGGGGATTATTGCGTCCGTTGTGCAGGGAGGGGCTGGGTGGGGTGGGTGGGGCTGGTCACCCCGTGGTGCCCTTATAAAACTCAACGTTTAACCTATTCACGCCGGCTTGTGCCCGCCCTCAGGTCGGGCATATTTGCGGAATACACCACGCCGCCGTTGACCCTGGCCATTGACCGAGCAACCCAACGTTCATACCAGCTCCCTCTGCAGGAATGTGTTTATGCCACAACGTACCTTCCGCAGTGAACACTCGAGCAGGTCAGGCAAACCCAGGGGCTCTTGTTTGAGCGGCACACTGTGAACACAGACACAAAGCATTTACCAACAGCACCTTGCACACATACCTTCAGGTATCTGCATAGTGACACAAACAAATCTTAGTTGGTCTCTCCCGCCTCAAATGTGCAATGCGGTCGTTGCTCTTAGCTCTGGTATCAGTCTCAAAACGAGTGAAGGAAATTCCTCATTCTAATGATGCCTATTACGTTCTGAGCCAGCTGGCTAGGATTGGGCAAAACTTAGCCCACTTTACACCCAAGGAACTGGAGAGCACAGACTAAGTGTTTCTCACGAAACATTAAATATAATATCAACATGAATCTTGATTTAAAGCTTTCGTGACTGCAGGAATTCACTCTCTTTGGCTCTTTCGGTCCAGTCACGTGACTTTACCGGAAGACCCAAAGAGTACAGCAACATATTTAAGAATCACAGTTAAGAGACAAACATTTGGGTTATAAACAATAATTAAAATAACGTTTTTTACTTAATGATCCTTATACAGAAGGAAAATGTTGACTAAAGCAAGTAGTGTATAAACAGGATAGAGGGCCATTCTTTCCATGGAATGACCACTTAAAGTCCAAGTGGCCCTAATGTTATCAAAATGGCAAAAACAGCCGACACATTCCTTCAGAGCAACGGTTGTTTCTTGTGGTTGGATGCATTGTAAGTAAACATCATGTAAACAATTCTTAAACATACTTATCAATATGTTCTACATAATGAAAATACTAGGTCAGTTAAACATGTTGACAATTAAATTATGAATCAGTGTAATGTTTAGCCAGTATACTTGATTTCAAGAGTTATTTACCAACTGGTAAACCACTAACCATTTTCAACATTGATTATATTACTGGTTACTAAAGGTAGGAACTGGTAACCACTTCCAGTGGATTTTATGAATGTATGGATACAAAATATATTTTGTGTCTTCAAATTTCTGTGTGCCACTTCAAACAAACCTCATACAAATCCACGTTTTTAAAGCAGCGTCGTAAAAAAACATTGGTATAGATCGAAAACCTATTGTCTATAAATATGGGGGGGGGGGGGGGGAATGTCTCCATAACCTTTCCTTGCAGAGTTATGGGCGTGAAACAAAAAACATGTATTTATGTGGACTACAAAATTAAAAACCCAGAATTATATCGTGCTAATGTGCACATCTCAATCATGTTTCACTGCTGGTCGTGAACACCAACTGTGGTGGGTGATGTATGTGCTTAATTTCAGGAAAGTAGTGTAATGAGTATCAGCAGAGTAGTGTCTGTTGAGGTTCAGGTTGTATAACTGGTGAGTGGTAGTGTCAGGTGAGTGGTGAGTTTTTGGTAAGTGTCAGGTGAGGTGTCAGGTGTCTGGTGAGTGTTGAGAGCTGGCTACAAAATAGACAATGGTGCAAAAACTAGTATGAATGTTGAACTTATTTCGCACCGTACATGACCAGGACAACAAACTAAAACACAAAAAGGAGTTCTAAAGTAGAAGAGAATATCTGAGTGCAGGGGACTGTGCCGATGGGTAAGATAACCCCATCTGTAGGATGGGCTGACCCTCTAGATCAGGGGTCCCCAAGCCCCTGGGCCGCGGACCGGTACCGGTCCATGACCTGTTAGGAACCTGACCCGCACAACAGCAGGAGGTGAGAGCGGTGAGTCCGCGCGTGGCCCGCCCCCATTATTTTATTGACCACTTCCGTACGCGCCTCTTTCCCGCACTGCGCACTCGTCTCAGTCACAGTATTGGTAAGCCCACAAGCTGCTAACCCCTAGCCACAATGAGTAAAAAAACAAACGTCGCTGGAGAGCTTCTTTGAAAAGGGGGAAAGACCCCCGTCCGTGAAAAAATTGTCTTCTACGAAAGCGGTCCCTGGTGCCAAAAAGGTTGGGGACTGCTGCTCTAGATCATTCGTACAACTGCATCGCAAAATGCCGTACAATACATACACATGTTCATCCGTAAAAGGGGCTAAACACCATATGAAGAACGTCAAAAAGACTAAGTGCATAAATTACAAAAATATCTTGGGCGTTGTGGGTGGAAATACATTGGCAGGCATAGAACAAATAAGTAAATTCCAAGGCCATTGGATGCACCAGCCAAGAGCACCAATTCCCAGAATGTGCAATAAACCGGTAACCTTTTTTTTATTTGGTTTAGTGGTAATACAGAAAAAAACTATTTTAATAACCCGAGTACAAACATGCAATGTTAAGCAATAAGACATAAACTGCTTCACGGCAGAGAATTGCAAAATGTCAACGATAGAGATGACGAATAGACATTGCAGTCATGATGTGTTTTGTTTATCCGATAAGATACACGAACCATTGACCTCTTCCCATTTTCTTCAGTATGAAGGCTGAAAGGATTTCAGAGATGTTTTACACCAAGCAACATTCACCAACACGTGCATCAAGCCCTTTGTGAATATATTAGGACATTTCAGAAAATAAAAGCAGAGGCAAAGACAGGGTGGCTCAGTAGCAACCCTGGTGCCAAAGTAAGGTCCTGGGTTCGATTCCCCAACTCGGATGCATGTGTGTGAAGTTAATATGTTCCCTGTTCAGTTTGCGTTTCCTCCAGTTTCTCCATTTTCCTTCCATACCTGAAACCGGCCTGGCCTGTCTCCACGGCAGCCCATTTGGGCATATTCGTGCCAATCCATGTAGATTACGTGCTGGAGGGCTCACACATCAGTCATGTAAACAGGGTCAGGTAGAAAAAGCTGCTCAAGTAAAATGTATTTGTTCAACCAAAGTGAAAATTCACGAGACCAGGATCATCTCATTTGCTAGAGCGACCCTGGGTCACCACAAAGACAAAATGCATGAAGCAATTAGCTAGAGTAAAAACAGCTGTGGGAAATCGAAAATAATGCACAAACATAAATCAATCTTCATAATAAAATTCCGGCAACATAAATTCAGTTGGGCAGATTTTTTTTTTAACTGATCATAGTAAAAATAGAATGAAGATCTAGAAAATGTAAACAGATATAAGGTGAGTATTGTACTAATAATAGTATGTTCGTATGCAATTTGTACTTGTAAACTTTCTTTATTTTTATTTCTTTTTCGTGACTTGCTATTTTCTCTATTTTGCATTCCTCTCGTTTTTTGTATTGTTTGTTGTTGTAATTTTCTTACCCGCCCTACTGGACATTTGTGAAAAACAGCTTCAGTCATCGGATTCCTCCAGCATAAATATTCTGCTTTTGATATCATGTGCCTCACCTGACCACCTGACCATGCTAGTTTTAAATGCATATGTTAAAACATTACAAAGGATAATGATTGTAAATAATCATTGCCCAACTTCCACTGATATTACACCTGGCTTCAAAATATGTTTTAATCATGCCCCACCAGGTCCCCACCACATGTAGATTGCCGTCTCATTTGAACGTTGCCTCTCCTGGGGTTGGTCATATGGCTGCAGTGCATAGCGAGAGGCAAGGGGTTGGGAGTGGAAGGAGAGAGAGGCAAAGGAGGCATGGAGTGGGAGGAAGGGGCCAAGTCCACACACCCTCATTTACATATTAGGCAGGGTCACTGAGATGCCAGGTCGGGGTCGAACCCACAACCTCCTGTATACCAGGCGAGATAGTTAACATCTCCTCGCCACCGTGGTGCCCCCTTTGTGAGGCGTGGTGGGGGAGGTGGGGAGCTCTCCCTCTATCGCTCCACCTCGTCACGACATCGTGGCCGGCGAGGGAGGCGTTGTCGCGATGCCGATTGACGTACAACAAGAGGACGACGATGTGGAGAGATGGGTGGGGCGACGCCGGAGGTGTGTAATGCTGGGTTCGAACAGCAGTTGAAAAGGGTGCCGCTGGCTGAGTGCTGCAACAGATCCAGCAGCCCCAGACTGTTCTAATAGCAGAAATAACAGAAACTGCTGGGCCAAGTGTTCGAGGAGAAGTCTGTTCAGGGTTCCTCTTCTGTAAGCGCGTTACACGCGTGTTACATGCGTTTTAAACGTAAGCCACTCATGAAGCACTTGTGACATGACGAGTCAATGCATGGAGAGGACGACCTTCCACCATTCGTGAGGGATTACTCCTAAAGGTCACGCGAGTTACAAAAACCCCTCGTCATACAGCAATTCGATTGACAACATTTTGCTGTAATGTAACTTTTAAGTTAGGGTACAAATTTGACATACGTTATGTAAAATTCACATTTACGGAATTCTGAATCTCAATAAAAAAATGGGGGGGGGGGGGGGAGCGTGGAAAAACGCATTTGTCCAAGCGTGCATTTGATATTGCTCTCGTTCGTTTGTGTGGGCTTTTAATACTGTGCTGGTTTCCCCATGCTCTTCGTGCCACCCTTTGTGTTGATCATGCTTGGTACTATACTGTGCAGGATTTGAACTTTTTAAAACGTTCTTACTTCACTAAGCGTAAGCCAAGATGTCTGTAAAGAGGCCATTAAGTGCAACAGAAGTGCAAAAAATAGACCTGGGTAAGCACTGTACAGTACATCTTGACTTAAAGCTTTCGTGACTGCAGGAATTCATATTATTTGGGTCATTCGGTAAAGTCACGTAGATAGGTTCAAAGAAAAGAACAAATGAACAAAAAACGACGATGTTTCGATTGCAACACAAGCGATCGTCATCAGTGTGGCGATCAAAACGTCGTAGTTTTGTTATTTTCTTTGAACCTATCTACGTGATTTTACCGAAAGACCCAAAGAATACTGTACAGTATTTTTATTTCACGACTTAATTTGAGTATGTATGTTGAACTTCTTTCGCACTAATCTCAGATTAGGACAGTTGGCAACGTACCGACCGTGCTGATCTAAACACAAAAAGCAGTTCTAAGGATACGAGTGTTTCATTTAGGATTTACATGCACAATTTCAGTGCCTTGCTAATATCGTAAGAAAGAGCATTATAGACGGCCACAGAGGCGCATTTGACTCTCTTTGTTTGAAAAGTATATTTCATCTTAACGTTTATAAATATTCCATAAATTCTGCTTAAAAACGGTGTACTGCATTC